CTTTTTTTTTTTTTTTTTTTTTAATGGGTTGTGGGCAGTGGGGTTTCGGGGAGCCAAGGCAGCGGGCATTAAAGCGATCGTAAAAAACTTGGATGATCTCTTAGCCGAGGGGGCAGGGCACCAGGCACGCTTCGGTTTTACGATCGGGCCAATCAATGACGAGCACGCAGCTAACTGAAATTATCCCCTGCAGCTAGGCGATCGTAACGAGAGACGCGAGGCCCCACACACGCAGTCCGATCACCGATCACCGATCACCGATCACAGATCAACAGGAGAAACCCTATGAACCTATTCCCTTAAGCTCCAGACATACTAAATTTGGTTACAAATTATGCACAAGACAATAGAGATGCCCAAGATCGCATCGGATCATCAGGGCATAATGATTCAATCGAAGCCGATCGATCGTTTGATCTAGGCACTCCAGCCACCCTGATGGATGATCTTGGCTTTAGCAGGAAAGGAGTGCCGAGTCATGGATATTTGAGTTCCGAACTCAAAAACCCATTCTTCACCCCGAACGATCCTCCCGAACCAACCGAACTCCAACAAAGAGCCTTTTTTCCCCTGAGAGTGGGATTAGCAGGGGATAAAAAAGAAGAATAAATCCGATCTCTGATTTTTGATTTCAGCATTCATATTTCAGATTTCCTGACTCGAGTGGCCGAGGACGAAGGCGATCGACACTTGACACACTCGGACTCGATTGCCAAATCTCCGAGAATAGACCTCTAAAGACTTCGGGCTCAAGTGCGAAGAGTCGCAAGTCGCAAGTCGCAAGTCGCGATTCGAGGGTTGACTTATGAGGTAACCCAAAACAGCAAATTAAATGTCGGGGCACGAAGTCAGAGGGGCGGGGACCCGACATTGACATAATGATTCTTGGCCGACTTGGGTTTCGCCGCCTGGTTCCGGCCAACAGTTTCTGACTGCCATTTGAGCCACTTAATGAGCAACAAACTACGGCCACTCAAACTACAAGTAAACACACACATCACACACATCTCTCGCCCACCCAGGCAACATCAGCTTAAAGGCCAGGCCAAAGACAAAAATTCTTAATTGCCGGGCCTTTGGGCGATATATATTTTCTGTCAGACGGTGCAAAAAAATCAAAAATAAAAAAAAAAACAAACGACAAAACCAAACAGAAAAAAAAACGCACACCTCATGATGTAAGCTGCCCAATTTGTCTTCACCTTTCCGTACATCAGGTTGGTCCAGTCCGGTTTGGTTCGGTTCGGTTCACAGTCTCTCATCTAGTCGCAAAACCCATCGCATCTCGATTCATAATTCGCTGGCCCGAAAATGCGCATGCGCAACCATTTGGCATTCGAGCTGTGATCACATTCGGACATTCGATCGCTTGTCGCTTGTCGCCCCCCATTCAGCATTATCATTCCATCCAAATTTCTGACAAACTTTCGACAGTCCAGGCAAAAAATCACAGGCATATACTCGTACATAAATAAAAAGAAATAATAATAATCCCTTGATGACTAAACGCCATTAAATGTAATGAAATTTAAGTACGCACCGCTGGCACCCCTGACCCACTAAATACTGTACATAAGTATCTTATGTGTGTGTGTCGTATCTCATAAATACGTTTTTGATTAGGCCCACCATCAGACCGCCCGCATACGAGTTGATTTCGTTAATAGGCGACAATCGTCGAAGGCATTTAATCGGATCCGCTTGGCTTCCACTCCCCCGAAATCACCCCTAATTTCTATAAACTCGGATAATGGGTCTGTGAAGCGCCGTGTTAATTTGATAATAATGCCCGCCGCCGAGCAAAAAACTAATCATCATAATAACGATGATTTCACGCCTGCTTTGCGATCGCTAAAGATCGCAAAAAACTATGGAAACTCTGTCTGTTTCGGGGGATAGTTCTAATAATTTTTGCCAGATGTGGAATACATTAAAGAGTGGCGGTCTAGATGTTCACTTAATGATCTCAACTTATGCTTTTAATCGCTTGATGATTCTTAAAGCTGTAGGGATTAACACTGATGATCGTAGATCAAGTAGAGATTAACACTGATGATCGTAGATCGTAGTTGCCTTGATTTTTCGACAGCAATAAATAAAGGTGTGGGGGCAGTGCTTTAATTATAAGAAACTACTCTTCTTGAACTAAATAAAATAAGTATATGGAATATACTTAACAATTAACTATATATATTGCATTGCTCGCCCAAGACTTTTCAACAGATTATTTGAGATCAGAAAGGAAAGCATATTTCCCAGGAGTTTCCTAATTAAAAGATCTTTATATTTTGTGACCACTTAAGATCACTTAAGGATTGAAATTCACTGATCCAGTGATACAGCGATTAGAATCGATTGTAAGAGATCTCAATCTCTAAGCGAATCTCTGCCTGGCAAATCACCCGGAGATCAATGCGAGATCAAACTGCGTAATACTCATGGCAGTTGAGGCATAATCCAAGTGAAACTTCAGCATTTCATTGTCATCAAGCGACGGCAGAGGCAGTCGACTTGAATGGTTTCATTTCACCCACAACCCACATGCCAACGACATGGAGCCGGAGCTGAAGATGGATATAAAGATGGAGACGGAGATGGATTTGAAGCTGGGGACGACGGAGCCACATCATCCATCAACCGCTGGCGAGAGGGGCTGAGCAATTAATAAACAAATAAAATGGCAACTACAATGCGGGTTCATGACCACAGCAAGCATCTCATCTGCGAGCCAGCAAATTGCGTGCGCGAACAACTAAATTTACAAGGCGCCTGGGCCTGGGAATCACTCTTCTGTTCAACATGCAGATGCAGTTGGATATATAGATATAGATGTAGATGTGGATGTGGATGTGGGGATGCAGATGGAGATCGGGTTGGGATGGGACCAACTAAGTTGCGACTCTGTGTGCAATTAATTCAATGAGCAGTGGCGACAAAGAGACAAAAGATCGCCTCGGGCGAATGCCTCACGATCAACACGCAAAGAGTTGTGAATCAAAGATGAATGGAGAGATCACTAGATCAGCAAAAGTAAGATAGATTTAATTTGAAACACACGATTGGTAGACAGATCATGGAATCATAAATCAAAGATATTGGTATTATAATAGATAATCAAAATAAACTTTATTTTTAAATCAAGTAAGAAGATCATTACAAAATCAATCATATTCCAATGCAAGAAATCCTTGGGATTTGTTTTGTAACATTAGTTAATTAAATGCCTTTGGGATCCTTTTTCAAATCCATTAGTAAATCCTTTTGGCTTAACTCCCTTATTATTTCTACGATGAAAAAGATCTCAGAATGATTTTGGTTGGTTGAGTAAAAAGATTTATTATCTTTGCATTCCAAATTCATTTCAAATTGCATGTAAAATATATTTGGATTATTCTTCTGGCTAGGTACAAATTTGTACCTTTGTCCGATGATCCTCTGCTTGTATCTATTTTAAATACCGAAAAGTACTACCTGCATATGCCCGAGATCCTATTTCCTTTTGAAGCGCTGATGATCTGTTCCTCGAGGATCCCACACACCTTCGCCTCATTTCCCATTCACCTTGGGATCCCTTAGCCTGTCATCTTTGCTATCTGTGTTTGATCAACTGCCAGCTGATCGATGATCCATTCCACTGTCTCCAACCCCAATTTGAATGCTCGGCATTTGGTATTTGGTATTCAGCCGCTTTTGTGGCCCTTTGGCGATCACTTGACACACTCTCCCCGCCGTCGCCTGTCGAAATAAATAAATGAACTGTCCAAAAACTGATCGGAGATGGGGGCCTGACGTCGATTCGGCTGTCCATTTTGGGAGCTGAGGAACTGAGCAACTAGGAGCGATTGCATACTCATAAATATTGAAATTTTCGAAGGGGTTTCGTGTGGGGGGGTGGGGGTGGTCGATATGACAAACGACGACAAATCGACTTCCGAGCTATCGATCGTCGCCATTGAATCGTTGAATGAATGAATTTGGCACCACGATACGCGTTGTTGTGCGTTAGTTGTCGAATGCCAATTGGGGTGATAAACGCTTGATAACGAAATCGAAAACGAAACCGAAACCAAAACCGAAACCGAAACAGAAAATGCAGCCCAAGAAGCGCCGTGTTTTGTGAGTCAGATTCTTTGGCGGTCTGCCCATTCATAACCACTCGAAACGAGCATTTCTTTCGCACATTCACAATTCCTGACCTACGACATAATCCCCCGAAAATGCGCTCACACGAATATAGCTAAGTACATATATATATATAGATATTTGTACAGCCAGAGAAGTCGTCATCTCGGTCTGTGACGAAACCGATCGTATATTTTTATCATGGCCAAGAGATACGCGATTGATAGAGCCCGGGGCATATATGCTTATAGCCACATGATTCACACATCGTCGCGGCGGAACACTTTCCCAGAACCAAAGTGATTAGTGCCGGTTCGCATTTCTTTCTAGATCGCGAATGGTCATCGGGCATTAAGTGATCATTTTTGCGCCAGATAAAAGTAGTTTTTTCTTCAGGAATAAATGCTTGAACGAAGAGTTCTTATTAAAGGTATGCAGTCATTAGGACTTTTCCACAATGACTCATTAAGTAAAAGTTTATCTAACAATGTCTTTTAAAAACTACAAATAATGTTGAGTAATTTGCAGACCTTGGACTTTTATCCAACCAAAAATTAAGTTTTTATTCATTCGGATGGATAAAAACATTGGCATTTTAAAGACCATTTAGATATCTACAAAAATAATAATAAAAAAAAAAAATATAGAATATATGCTACAGAAATACATTTTGGAAATCCACACAGTCTTTGAAATACCCGGAACTATGTATATATTTTAGAAATACAACCCTATTAAAAATAAACAAAGTCTTTATCTCCAAGCAAACTATATAAACATTCGAATAACAATGAAAGTTCCTATGATTTTTACGATCCCTCCCCCCGAAAAAGTTCCCCCCCACAGTTAACACTTCCCTCGACCTTCGATGAACTTACCGATCTGGTGTTGATATCTCGCCGCCGTTCGGTTTCTTGTTGTTGTTCTTTTCTGTTTGGTTTTCCTCAGAGGGGGCCGGAACCTGGGGGACAGAAAGGAAATCGAAAATGATATATGCATATATAGTTGGGCTTTTTCAGTTATGGGGCCGAGTGTGACATCATCAGAAACGTAAGTAGAAAACGGTAAATGGAGTTTTATTTGCTTTTTGTCATTGAACGTGAGTGAGCGTTCCACACATCACAGAGAACTAGCTGGAGATGGAAATATGGAGAGAGGCGGTGGTCTAAACAAATACGTCAATAAATAAAGGCGTTAACTTGGCTCGAATGGCCTACGTAAATATGCGATGAAATGAGCGAAAAGAAACGGCTAAAATGTTGATAAATACGAAAACGGAACCATGCCGAGGTGGGCTAAAGTCTCGGACCCAATTCAAATCCGAATCCGAATCCCAAACCCAAGCTCAAACTCAAACTCTCAAACTCAAGCCCAAAACCCAGAGCCAGTCCAATCCCCAGCCTCATATTCAGACTCACAATCGGTGTAGGCTTGTTTCGCAATCGCTCATAGACTTCGGCTACAGAAGTTGGCAATAAGCTAAAAGCTGACAAATGTCTGACAAGCGGAAATGGCAAGAGAGTTGGAAAAAAAAAACACCACGACCAAGTCCAAATACACGAAAATTCGCACGCAAGCCGCCAGTGAATCCAATTGAAAAACGGAACCGTCACCACAGAATATATGGGTGTGTCCTGTGGTCGGTATTTGGTATTCCCCGGGAATTACGTAACCTTCTAGGGTCTATAAATAGCTAAATATAACACACTTGTTCAATGTACTTTCCAACTATTCCAAATCAGATGTCCCTCTTACAGACAACAAGCTCAGGAAATTCTCCCCTATTGAAAATTAAAAATACATAAGAACCTCTATAGGTAATAATAACTGTATGAATTTATCCCTCTGATATTAAGGGTATCTCTTGAAAATGGTTAAAATTTAATTGATAATATGTCAATTATTATTAAATAATAATATAACATCCTCGCGTATTGCTTGCCCCGTTGAAATTCAGAAGTAGATGTTTGCTGTGTTATGACGTTCACATTTCATGATTTGTTAGTCATGAGAGACCATCGAATCGAAAACCAATATTTGGCTGTATCTTTATCGTTCTGAGTGTTGGCTTGACACCTACTGTTTGGTTTGGTTTGGCTTGGCTCGGCTCGGATCTGGACCTTGAGCACTGCAGCAGACCTTTTCCCGCGAAGGCCGCTCTGCGGGTGAGAGGGTCTCATGGCCAGGTAAGAATTGGGCAAGGTCAATGCCGCATATGCAGAGTTTTGTTCTGACCTTTTGGAGGGAATCTCCTGCCTGTTTCGGGTGCGTGACGAATGCCTGCGCATGCGGTCGCCAAGGTCAGTCCGATACCCAACCACCCACCACCCACCGCCACCCCTTCGACTCCCAGCTCCCACTTACTCATTAGAACAGCTGACGTGACTCAATCTCCTGGCAAATAAAAAACAATTCAAGAGGCGCCACCACGATGGGTGGCCTGCCAAACTATGACTCATGGAAATGTGGGCAAAATTCAGGCAGGGAGAATTAATAATATTACCACCATAAAACATTCACAAGTTCTGTAATTAAAGGCCAGACATCTTGCGATGCCGGGAAAGTTCATAGAAAGATTTATGACTCAGATTTTGTATTTATTTAAAGCGAACCATGGACCTCAAGTCCATGCAGGATATCATAAATAATCTTTTGATGAAGACTACTTTATTTTTGTGCATCAAATGCTTTTAGGGGAAGCTGTATTGCAAATAAATCAATGCACATATTTTAATTGGGGACTAATAGCACAACTTGCAGGAGAATGTGATTTCTAAACCGATAAATCATTTTATGCATCTGTTATTTAAAGGCTCTTATGCATAGAAATACCTGGAAATACCTTATCGCCTTGTCCTTTATCTAAGCCTGACCATAAGCCCTTTAAGCTGAGGATCAGTTAGAGAATGGCCATATCTCGATTAACCACTATAATGATTTGTTGGAATGAACAACATTTCAAGTATGGTGCCTTACTTTCTTATCTCCCACTAAACACGGCTATAAAGGAATATTGGCTCTTTGTTCGCCGATTGACTTGCACATATCGATGGCAGTTGTTGAGTTCTATAGCCATAAATTGGTCTACCCCTAAGTGGTTAAAACTGGATCTGCATGGGCCATTATTATTTGCCTTATCCCTGCTCGTATGACATATTTTATGGATATATATTTGTGTATACAGTATGTGTGTGTGTGTCGTGCCATTTGTCATTTGTCGGTCTGTAAGTGGAACTTCAGATAAACCCCATAAGCTATGGGACCAACTGAGCTGTCGCAGTTTGTTGTTCATTTATATTTTTTATATTTACATATATGCATGCCGAAGATCGGGGGAGTTGGAGGGGGGGGTACTTGGTTTGGATGGGTATAGTGTATAGTGCTCATTGTTGTTATCAGGGGTGTCGTTGCATGTGGAATTATAATTGAATGCGCCTTATGTTTATGATTTACACCAGCACATTCCGGCACAGATGTATATGTCTGTGTGTATAGTACATATCATCGGTAGACAGATAAAACGATAAGTTCCAATGGCAGACAACCCAGCTATAATAATAATAATAATAATTATTATTTTGTGCTGTTTGTTTGTCTGTTTACTTTTTTTTTTGGCTCTTTCTCCCTCCCATTTCAAACAATCGAATTGCTATTTTGGCATTTGATTTCTTTTGTTTCCCCGTTTTTTATTTTTTGTGTTTTCTTTGCCGATTTGATTTGGATTTTTGGATTTCTGTGTTTTGGCTGCGCGACACGCAAATCGATGGTTGCCACCCTAACGGACCAAAACAGCAACAATAACGCCAAAAACTTACGGTAAATTCTGCACGCGACGAAGGCAGAGGCGGTACCGAAAAATCGGCCAGACAAGGAAGCACGTTATTATAGCGCTAAGTGTGCTACAAAAAACCAACAGCTATGCGAAAATAAACAATGTTTTTATTGTCGCAAAATTCACTTGAATTCACACACACACACCATACACCAAGAAAAAAGTAGAATAAAAATGGAAACGGAAGGGAAGTCGGAAAGTTTAGTAGCACAGGATGTTTTGGAGTGGACGCGAATACCGCGAGACGAGAAGGCGACTCCGCGAGACCGCAACTCCGCAACTCGACGGACGACCATATGACCGAAGACTAACGCAGTATCCTGCGACTTTTTGCCACAGAGGCCCAGGGTTGCAAGCCAGAGAAATGGAAACCCACCTCCCCCCATTTGCCGACAGCTTCCGCGCAAGTCCTTGCCCAACTATTCCGGGAGAGAGGCGAAAAGGAGAGGCAGGAAGGAGTAGCAGAAGGCAAAACCCATTACAATAGTTGGGCACAGTGGAGCTACATATATCACCTGGTACCGTTATAAGAACAGGAAATACAGGGGAATATCGTATCTAAACTGCTTATTTTATAGACCAACAAACGGTATTATGATAATATACCAATAACAAAATTTATTATGATAACACTCCAATACCAACGATAGATATGCTGATAATAAACTAATAACAACAAAATAAAACCTTTATAACAAGTAATATTGTATTTCAATCCATAAAATGTCTAGATGAAAATATACAAATAGCACATTCTTTTATGTCACAGAAGCTTCTGCTGCGCTTTGCAAGTGATATTGAAACATATCAAACAAATTTCCCCAGTGTCATTATTTTTGAAACTGATTGCAGCCACAGTAAAAATATTGGGTTTGAGCTCTGCGTTCATTCCTAAAATTTATACGAGAGTGATAAATATATGTGATTCATGTATAATCTAAAGCAATTCAAATAATATAAATAAATATAAAGTTTAATTGTCAAACTGACAGTTCCATAACTTTTAACAGCCATTAAATTCTGTTGTTGCTAATTTCATTAGGATTCAGTTTCCCACATTAGTTGGTCAGATCTTTTTAATGGTAGGCCAATAAAATCCCAGTTAGTGAGCAGTGGGAGGTCGATGGGGGGATATATTAATGTGGCAACCACTGTGCATTGATTTCGATGTCGCCGTCTGGAAATTATTGTAATCCATAAGCACTATCTGTGTGCTAGTGTGCGTGAGTGCGAGAGGGATGGCAGAGGGAAACGGAAAAGGGAATTTGGGGCTGTGGGAAGGGAGGCGCATGCGTTTTCGACCGTTATATGCCATGGGAAAACATATGGAGACCCAGCCCAAACGGCTCTACTAAAACTCCAGACCCCGAACTCAAGACCCGCGACATTCGACTCATTGTGTGTAAAATGTGTAAAAGCTACCCCTTATCAGTTGAGCATTTTCCTTATCAGTTCGGCGATTGACGGCCTGAGAAATTAAAAACTGGCAGTCACACAATGGGATTTCTCACTCTCTCAATTTATCTGAGGGAGAGAGAGAGTTTTGAGCTCATTTCACTCCTTTTTCCTCTTAAACCTCTTTTTGTTGTTGTCGCGGGCGTCCAACAGGCGTAAACAGCTGTAAATTGTTTGTTGACACACACATGCAAGTATAAACACACAGATACACACAGCTTTGGGCAAAATAATAGTATCTTTCAAAAAGGATATCTTGAACATTTTTATTTCAACTTATATATTTATGTTAAATTTAATTGCAAAACAAAATCTATAAGTTTTAAAAACGAAACAACTAAAAATCACTAATTTGCAATATTACAAAATTTAGATATCAATGCAAATTAATTTCTAATCTTTTAAAAACTTTAAATCTTTGTTAAGCTTTGGGGTTTTAAAACCAGTAAAATATTTACACAATATAAAACGGTTTCTTTCCAAGTAAAGTTATTCATAATATTTATCGACTCTTGAATAAAAACATGTTCGAAAAATGTAAACCATTTATATATTTTTATAATTGTAAAAATACAATTTTTTCCAATTTGGGAAATAGGGTTGCAAAGCTTGAATATTAATAAATCTTTTAATTTGTACTAAATATAGGCCCGCATCTGTAAGCTGATCCTGTCATCGTTTTGCCTTATTGTTTTTAATTAGCCAGCCAAAGAATTGAAGGGCGGATGTGCGAGGGGTTTCGAGCGGGGCTGGTCTTTAAATTTATGGTGTGCAGCAGATTTTAATGTTATTCATCAGTCGATTTCGCAGAAGACCGGAGACCACGAGAAAGTCACCAGTAAGCAAACAAAGCCAAGGGAACATTGCCATTCTTGTTGACATGACAAACCGCGTTCTAGGAAATTGCCACACAAAACTGCAACCGAAAGTGCAACAAAAAGTGCCGAAATCAACAAGTGCGTGTGGCCGATAAAAGTGGGTGATACTACGATATGTCATGATGTTCTGGCCCACTCGATAGGGCATGTGTTCGAGACATTATTCTGCGCTTTATCAAGCGAAAAGCGAAAGAGCGACGAGGCAAACACAAAACACAAATCCACAATCGGACCAAACATGTGTAACGCTCCCATTTGTTTTTATTCCACTGATAAACGCAGTGTCTGATTAAATCAACCGTTTGTTGGGCCTCGTCGAATAAAAAGGGAAATGACTAAATTCTTCTATCTTAAAATCTGTTTAAAATATTCCGCAATTTTTGTTTTGTTTATCCTACAAACCTTTTAAAGATCTCCGCCAATCGCTAGATGTTTATGCAAATTTTTTGTTTATTTTTTTAAACGAGTAATAGTTGTTAGAAAAATTCCATCGTACTAGATCAAATCATATTAAACAGTATCAATATGGCGAATATATTGTTTTAATATGCACTATGCGATTTAAATATTTCACTTCACTTCGCGATTTCTTTTCGAAAAAAGGTTTTTCGGACACAGGTTTTCAATTGAACATAAACAAAAAATCCCGCGTCACGGCCCAAAAACGATTGGGTTGTGAGGAATTTATGAAACTATCATAATAACAATATATTCTCGTAGGAGAAATAAAATATCATCTTGTGATATCTTTTCCCGGCAATTTAACGCATATTTTTCGAAATGTTTTTTGAAAAGATTTAACGGAAACCGAAACACAACCATCAGCGCGCGGTGTCGGTTGAAAAATTTCAAAAAAATGGGTTGCGCGCTGCCGTTTATATAGACTCTGCCAGCGTTGTTGCTGCTCTCTCGCGACGTCGACGTTGGCGTCGCTGTTAGCACTCTCTCGCAATGTTAAGCCGCTGTTAATAGATAGAAGCAATTGGTCCGCTTAAGAAAAAAATATTTTAATTTAGTGTAATTTTATTAAGTTTATTCATTTTCATGGGCATTAAACATTTAAGTCTTTAACGAAAAATTGCTTAATAATTTTAACAAAGAAAAATATAAATAATTGTATCTTACTATAATCAATATATCAGATTAATAATTTGTATCTTTTAACCATATTCAAATATTGATTCCTATTTTTTTTAATTAACTATAGTTTATAGTTAGTTTATAGTTTTTGAATTTTTATTTTGGGGAAGCTTTTTGAATTTATTTTGGCGCCACAATTCGATAACAGAAGTTTTATATCAAGAGATAGTTGCTGACTCGCTCTTAATCCTATTGATGGTGACAGTAACAGTGACATGGACGTAAGCAAAAGATATTGGTTGGGGTTAATTAATAAAAGATTTATTAAAAATATATATTTTGTATAAGAGGAGGATATATTTTATTTATGTTAAATTAAATCAGAGCTCTGTTATCTAAAATCTATTGTAGTTAAATAACACAAGCATATGATAACTATTATTGAAAGAAAGCTGACATTTTTTGTAACGAAAAGAGAAAAAAGTTGGGTATATTTTATATTTAAAATAGTTTTACTTCCGAACAACTAGGCGATCAAAAGCAACTTAATTTGTGTATTTGGAAAAACGGTTTGATTTGAAGAGATGGAGGGTTTTTTCCCCACTCGCTTCGCCCCTGTGTGATTTCGCTCTCGAGTTCTCTCTGAAATAACAGCAGTCATTAACAGTTGCTTTCGGATGAGCTCTGTCAAAGTCTGACTGCTGCAAGACACACTTCCCAGTTTTTAAAAAAAAAACTAGTTCCCCTACATGGCGCGGAAACTTAAATTAGTTGTATGGGTTCTTTTAACATTAATGAATGTACAAATTTTGTGTAATGTAATATGTAAATAAGGGATGGCATATGATATATAAATTGAGCTGTTCACAAATGTTCAGTCTTAATGACCGTCATAATTAAAGTTACTCATTTCCGCATCGACGTCGTGCCAAACGGAGCCATCGCCATCGCCATCCTGACCTGATCTGGCGGCCGGTGAGGAGGATGCCTCTCGAGCGTTCTCTGCACAGTCGCCACCCATCCACTCCAGATTTGGGGTTGCCAATCCACCAGTGGACTGCTGGTTATTCACCTTAGTGACCCCACCTTCGTCCAGGACACACGATTCAATGACAAGCGAGTTGGAGCTCTTTAATAGACTTATTCCTCGCAAAGTTCGCTCGCATTTGGGATCCTTACTGAAATATTGAATACGATATTAAACGATGATTTAAAATGTAGGACTGTTTCCCAAGGTAAACTCACCCCAATGCCTTGTAGTAATACTCCAAGGCCCTGATGGGTTCCTTTTGCGTGCGCAACATATCCCCGAGAACCGTGAACAGATTCGTCTGCGGGAAAAGGGAGACGTGATCCTCCAGCAGCTTAATGGACACCTTGGGTGAGCCCTCAAACTGGCAGATGTCGGCCATTAAGGCCACCGCCGGCGTGTAGTTGGGATCGATCTTCAGGGACTTTTCCGCAAACTTGCGGGCAGTCTTCTTAACCATCGGATCTGCTGAGACAAAGAGGGTGCGACCGAACATCTGTGGATGGAATGGGAACCTGTTAAGGATCGTGTCCTGGGAATATCTAGGGAATCGTACCGTTAGACTCCTGGGCGCGTTCGGGAACATGCGGAGTGTCCAGTTGCACATGGCATGGGCCTCCTTGAATCGCTTCTGGGCCAAATAGCTGTGATAGAGACCCCTGTAGACCTCGAATCGATACGATGCGACAGTTTGGGCCATGCGAAAGGCCTCCGCCGCCTCCTTGTGCAGCTCCAGCGAGTTGAGCAGCCGGCCGCGCAGGATTAGGGCCTCCTGGTGGCGCGGGTCCGCCTCCAGGCATTGCTTCACGAAACTCAGGCCGCGCTCAAACTTGCCCGAGTCGTACATGGATTGGGCGTGGGCGAACCAGTGGTCAGGTGAGTAGCTCCGCTCGCGGGTCACCTGGGCGTACAGGCGATCCATGTCCGGGCTGCTGAGACCGTGGCCCTCCTGCCCCCGGACAACGCCCAGCAGTCCGATCAGCTCCACGTTGTCCGGATTGGCACTGACCGTCGCCGAGAACAACTGCTCCGCCTGTAAGTAGTTGCCGTGGTAGTAGAGACACTTGCCCAGCGCAGTCATCAGGTGCTCGTTGCCGCGCAGCGAGGTGGTATCCTGCAGCTTCTGGAAGGTGCCGGCCGCATCCAAGTGCTTGCAGTCGAACATCTGGGCGAGCGCCTTGATCCACGTGCTCAGCCAGTCGAAGTTTCCGGGCACCGAGGCAGCTGATTGGGCGGGGAAAGTGCGGAGAGTATCAGTATCGTACTTTCAATTGCAAATAGGACCCCTAGACCTACGAAATCACAAAGGTGATTGTTTGGAAAGGGGTTCGATCATAAATAAAAAAAGAAAAACACAAACTAAGATTCATACGCAGCTTTGCCAAGTATGGCACTTTGAAATGGGATTCTGTAAGAAAAGTTATGGGTTTAGAAGTGCAGTTTTTTTAACACTTTTTTGCAGACCCATTTTTAGAAAATTTGGAAAGGGGTAACATCATCAAAAATGACGAAATATCGACCCAAAAAAAAATATTTAACTAAAAACACAGATTTTTAGGGAATCAAACCACGATGATTTTGAAGTATGCCACTTTGAAATCGGATGTCTGTAAGAAAAGTTATGAGCTTAGAAGTGCATATTTTAGGCACTTTTCTGCAAACCCATTTTTCGAAAATTTGGAAAGGGGTAACATCATTGAAAATGACGAATAATCGACCCAACAAAAAAATTTTAACTAAAAACACAGATTTTTAGGGAATCAAACCACGATCATTTTGAAGTACGCCACTTTGAAATCGGGAGTCTGTAAGAAAAGTTATGAGCTTAGAAGTGCAGTTTTTTTACACTTTTCTGCAAACCCATTTTTCGAAAATTTGGAAAGGGGTTACTTCCTTAAAAATGACGAAAAATCGACCCAAAAATAAAAACTAAAGTAAAAGAAGACAGATGTATGTTTCGAAAAAAATATGATGAATATATTACAGAAGAGGACTTATATCGGGAAATGTTAGAAAAGTTATATTGGAAAAAATAAGTACTTGGAGTAGATTAAAAAAAAGTCCTAGCTGAAGGCTTCTATTTCAAAATTATATACATATATCTAGAAAAGGGATCGGAAAAGTAATATTAATAGAAGTAAGATACAAAAGTGATTTTAGGGGTTTTAATTTAGGGTTAAAAAAAGGTAAGAGTCTAAAGACGGCTATAGCCCCAGCCGGTATATCAAGTGCCAGTGTTATCAGTGCCACTACCGTGCATCACCAGCGAGTTGACCTCGTTGCCGTCGACTTTCAGCTCCAAGAGGGACTGGATCACTTGGAGCGCCATGGGGCACTCGCGGACGACCTCCCTGTAGGCGTGCATGGCCTCCGCCTTGTTGGGGCACCCAAGACCGGGGCCGTGATGTTGCAGCCTGGCCAGCATCAGGTTGATCCTTGGTGTGCGCGACTTCACGGGCACCTGGAGCAACGTGGATATGGCCATTTCGGGATTCCCGATCTCGCGGTAGCACTCGGCGGCCCGTCGCCGCAGCTCCACTTCGGCGAATTCCGGATAGGCACTTTCGATGGCCAGCAAACAGGCGTTCTTGTGGCGCGCCATCATCCGACGCTGGTGGATCATGTCATCAAAGTGCCGCAAGGCCGCCCGATGCTGGCCTTCCTTGTACTGCGAATTGCTGAGGAAGAGCTGCACCTGGTACTCCATCTCCAAAGTGGCAACATTGCGATCATTCTTCAGCGCCGTAGTCAGCAATTTGGCCTGCAAAGCGTCGGGTATCAATAACACCAGCAAGACATGTGGAATGCTTTTGGTTATAATCGGTTATTACCACTGGAATCACGCACTCGTAAAGCTTGTGGTCGTAGAGCTTCTTAACATTCTCAAATAGCGTATTCTCCATCTTTTCCACGCGCACAAATTTACACAACTAACAAAAATGACGGACAGGCTCAACTGGTTCCGGGTATTCCGCTCTAGTTCCTAACTGTATCTAACAATATTGAAACATAAATATTGTGTGATAGAGATTAAAAGCTAAATTCCATAACATACAGTTAGCTTATTTACCAAACCCGGCAACTCTTGCCAACCATTATTATCGAAATCTATGTCACATTTTGTCCACATCGATATCGCAATTTTTTGCATTTGAAATAGGCTTCTTCAATTTTGAATAAAAAAATGACACCAATCTTACATTAATTTTCATTCATTTCAATCATTTTTGAAACCCATTTATTAGCTTCGAATTAGAAGCGCAGTTAAAATACAGAGTGTAACATTTATGTTTGCAGGCATTTTATTTTGAGATTTACGACGTCGCTCTTAAACTAAATCGCTAAGTTATGCCAAAAAGAGTTTTGCAACTACAATGTTGTTTATAAGTATCGCTCTAGGTAGCAAATGTTAATAGTATAAATTGTCTTTACTGGTAGGCATCTATTTATTTATTTAGTTATTTATTATATATAATAAACCTTTTTTAACTGGAAGCTGCATTATTCAACCCGAGTTATTTACAACGCTTTCCCATCGCCAATGCTTTCCAGTTGCTTTGTTTAACTTTAGGGGCTGAGGCAATACTTTTGATGCATGTTCCATGTGTACGTATTAGTAATATATATTATATCATTTTAAATGGGCCTAGACTGTACAATACGCTTACTCCTTGCGCTCTATACAACATTTTTCTTCGAGTGGTTCTGTGCTCTAAACGCTCTAACAAACGTGGAAATTAAAATAAAATGGAGTACATTATTATTCTCTACATCTCTCGAAAGCCAAACGAAAGCTATGTTTATTCTCTGGCGACTGGCCTTCTCTTTAAGTTTCCAAACAAAAAATACAAAAGTAGATTATTAGAGGTGAAAATCCATTAAAAAATTAAACGTTTGTACATGGGCCGAAACGTGGGGAACACATTTAAAAAAAAAAAATCGCTCAACGATCTCCCATTCAGCCGGGTAACCGAAGCTCTAACAATACTACTACATCTTAGCCTAGGTGAAGTTTGACTGAAAAACAGGACTGGGTATCCTTGAAAACTGTAGGATCTAAGGGTACTGGACGTATTCGATGACGGCTGGAACACAACGGAACGCTTGTTGAATTGACCCACACTCGGTAAGACTTAACAAATATAGTATAGCAGCGGGGCTTATTCGATGGAAATGACAAAGAAAAAAATACAGTAAACAGAGCGGGGGTAATGATTATAAGTGCCGACCGAGCGAGAGAGATAAGCTATCAACTACACTTAGAAATCCTTTTAGAACACACATAGGTCGATCCTTGATGCTCCTTCTTTTTTGTCTAATCAACGTGGGCTAACATATGCGAATCTCTTATCTAAGACAAACTGCAGATGTTGCCGCCTCTGTCACCGTTGCCGCTCCTGCTGCAGTTTGCCCTCCAGTTTGTGCCATCCGACGCCGGGGGTGTGGGTGCGATTGCGATTGCTAGTGCGGGTGCAACTGTCTTTTCCTCTTCTTCATCCGTCGCTACCATTTCCACTTCCGCTCCCACTCCCAAAGCCCCATCTCAGTTCAAATTCGACTCCAATGGCGCATGCACCGAACGGGTTGGACTGTTCTTGCAGGTACACATGCTGACGAACTTGCTCTTGACCTCCTCTATGGAATAGTCCTCCTCAATGGCGGGGTAGCTGGATTTCTAAAGAAAATCAATCAATTAGCTTCATTCTATAGAAATAAATAAAAATCTGCAATAGTGCAAATATAGATTTGAGGGTTTTACTTACATTTTGAGTTAAGTTTTGGCCACGCAGCATCTGCCAGTTCTCCAGTGTGTTCGCATACTTCAAATACTTCTCAAAGTCGTGCAACGTTTCGTAGACGTGACACAGACCCAGGTAATCGTACTCCAGACCAGAGTACGAGTGTCCAAACAGACGCAGACCTGTTATACAAATGTAGATTAGTTAATAATACAGCCCATATTTAGGAGAAGAGAAAATGGCATATATACTTACTTATGTCAATGCTGCGCAGGTAGAGTGTCTCGGCATCGCGGTACTTCTTCATTTGGTAGTTGTACAGCGAGGCCAAATGGCCGATGGACAGGCCCACCTCGTAATCGAAGGCACCCAGCAGATCCGTCTTGATTTTGATCGCCTTTTGGTGCATTCGTTCCGCTTCTTCGAAGCGATTCATCGTTTGGTATAGACGCCCCAGATTTCCATAGTGCTTCGCCGTTTGCACATTCACCTCGCCGAACACTTCGAGGGAGAGGAACAGGGCGAAATTGTGCAGCTCCTCGGACTGCTGCAGCAGGTCCTCCTCGTCCATGCCATCGGCCATCTTGTCCAGCGCAATCTCTTCCAGCAGCAGCGCCTTAACGCGCTTTGCCGAGGCCAACATCAGATGATTGCTGGGCACTAGATTCTTCATGATATTAACCGCCTTGTCGACGTGATCCTGGGCACAGCTAAAGTCACCCGTGCTGTACTCGTGGACATAGTAGGCATACGACAGATCCTCGTGCGCGATGGCCACGTGGAAATTCATGTTGCCGAAGATTCCACGACGTACGGCCAGCGCCTCCTTGTAGACGTTAACCGACTGGAACACAGAGTCCACGTTGAGTAGGAAAAATCCGTAGTCCAGCAGGGCATCGCCGTACTTCTGATGCTTAAGTCCAAAGTGTTTGCTGTGGAGAAGAAGAATGAGTGAGGCTTGTAAGGGATCCTTAATAAGCAAGATATTAAGATGATGCATAAATCATACAAAACGAAAACTTTTTTTTTTAGCTGAACAGGCCTTAAATATCCAAAATATTTTAAAAAATTGTTCGTTCAGCTTACTTTTTAAATTTTAAATTTGGCTAACCTAATTTAAATCTTTTTATTTCGATTGGGATGAACACATTATTTGCAATTTTTATTTAAATAGCACGGACTTAAAAAAATACAAGGAAAACCACAAAATAAATTTTTGCGGTAAAATGGAATTTACTCGATTATATTATTTTTTAGAATAAATGTTCATATTAAAATATGTACAGAAACCTTTTTTGTTGTTTGATTATTTTGGACATTGTTTATAGCTTATAATTAGTTTATAATGATTTTACAGTTTGGCTAAAACTTATTGACTTTTTGGTCGATAATCAGCGATCAGAGAGAGAAGGGGAAGAAATGCTAGATCCCTAAATTGATGTGCTTACCGAGCGCGTCGCACCGCCTGGCAGATGAGCAGATTGGCCCTGGCAAAGTCCCGCTTGACGACACAGGCCCTGGCCGCCTGACGCAGAACGTCGATGGTGATGCTGCCGGATTAAGGTAGATATCAGCAATTGAGATCGGGTTAGAGGGAGAGGGACAACAACTCACCGCGGTGTTGCAGATCTCTTCAGAAATCGCATGGCCAGACCGCTCCACATGTGGCTGTAGTTGTACTCGTTGCGGGCAAAGTACATGGCCGAAATCTGGGTGTAGGCCATGGCAACCAGCTGGGCGGGCACAAGGCTATTGAGCGATCTGTTCAAGCCGATCAGTTCGTCGTAGGTGCGTTGCGCCAGCTTGAAGTTACAATGCGCCGACTCTGCGTACAGGAGGCTTCAAAAAAAATGTCTTGTTAGTTTCCAAATATTTCCTTCATATATAATATTTTAAACAAGTTTATCAATAGCATTAGAAAATTATGAAATGTAGCAAAATTTGATATCTTAAGTTCTAAGTGACAGAACATGAAAAGAAAATAAAACTAATCTTATTAAGGAAATGCCTTTTCATTTATTTTTGTAGATAAAAATTTAGAGCTGAATCATTTACACAAATTGGGAACTCCAGTTAGTCAGTGCACAAAATTGGAATAAGGTCTTTAAAAGCTTATATAAAAAAACAACAAAAAAAATGTAAATAATTTAATTTTTCTTTAGTCAAACAAATATATATCAAAAATGCTTATGAAAAAATGGAACATTTTTGATACGACATTTAAATATATTATCAAATCGAAATGTTGTGAATTGAGATAGTTTGATTAAGGGTTACTTGATATAATAAATGACTTAATTACCGCTGTAGACAGTCAAGACGCATCTCCAGCCAGTGTTTGTGAGGCGGCAGACGCTTCAGTCTTCCATTGAGGCATGCCAGCACGAATATGCTCTCCTGCATCCATCCAGCCTCCGAAAGGAACGATCCGAGGCGCAAGCCCATGTCGATGGCCTGCATCTCAACGGCGGGCAACTCCTCAAGGGCCGAGTTATTAATCACGCTGAGTTCGGTTTGGGATTGGGATTGTTGTGCTTCGGCGTTCACTTGTATGGTAATGAATTGGCTACGGAGTTCGCTACAACTGGCACTAGTGCTAGTGGTTTGGGATTGTTGGGTTTCGGCGTCCACTTGTATGGTCATGAGTTCGCTACAACTGGCACTAGTGCTATCAGATGTCTCCCCGTCGTAAATGTGCAGCTTGCTGGGATCGGGTGAGCGATCAAGTGGTCCCTGATCCCGGTGCTTGTCCGACTCGACCGCTTCCTGATTCAGTTCGTCCTCCTGACCGGGGCTCCCATAGCGCGAAACATAGTTTTCGCTGAGTCGCCGGGCCAGCATCTTTTTGCTGGCCATAAGGGAGGCCATTATGCGCAGCAACTTGCTGCGGGCAGCCGAGTAGCGAACAAGTCGCGAAAACACCTCCAGCTGGGCTAACTCCTCCAGCAACGTGTCCTTCAAGGACTCCTGCTGCGACATCTGTGGATGGAGAGGAAGAAACATAGGGTTTAATGGAACCACATATGGACATCTTTAGCTGTGGGGAAGACATTAAAACTGGTTTGTAATGATCCTAAAATAAATACTGTAATAGCTTTAATAACATAAAAGATGTATTAGGTAAATTCCCTATTTAAGTTTTAAAAAAATTGATTTATTTATAATTTAAAACACAGGCTAAGCTGCAAATTATTACAAAATAAGTTATAATACTAAATAAACATAAGAGACATACATATATTGTAAAAACTTTAATACAATAAAATCATTACAATTAAACATCAAAGCAAAAAATGTTTTAATTCGGATCTCCTTTTTTTATAATTTAAGTTTCAGTTATAAAATGGAAAATCAAGAATCCTAGTTATGAAACGAAAAGTTACGACTTCAGTAAAAGCTAGCAAAAAGTAACGTAAACAAGAGGAGAAAAGACACATCCAATCAGCGAACAATGGAATTTGCTTAGCCATTATCAGCAAGTTCAATGGCTCTTCACCAGCAGCTGCGCCACAGCATTTTCTCTATGCATCATTGCATCTCCCATCCCAGTAGAGCTCTACAATTTCCGAACAGGACAATCAAAGGGCGCTGGACCCATCCAACTGGTTGGTTTATTTTTAGATGCCCCTCATTGTCGCTTCTGTTTATAATTTACACTGTAATTGCCACTTATTATGACAATCCATGTATGGAATCGAAAACTTTGGCTGGCCAACTATGTATATGCAACCACCTGTGGGTCTGTGGAGTTTATTTTCCTTCGTCCGAATGAAATCAATCTGAAGGTATGCACCTTCAGCAGTATGTCTACAGTGAAGCCTTCAGAATTGAATTCCTAGAATGGCGATTTTTAAATTGTAAGCAAGAAATAGCTACGTTTAGTGCCGCAATTTGAAGGTTATTACTTGATCTGTTGTATGTTTAAACATAATAAACATTGATCGATGGACAGAAATTACTTAACCCTGTTTTTTGTTTACTTTCTTGAAAAGGCCTACACATTCATATATTGTTAATAGGTATTCCTTTTGCTGAGTTAATGAGATAAAACATTTTTAGAACTAGTAAATCACTTTATGTTTTAAATTAAAAACTAAATCTATGAAGATTTCTATGTATTTTGCATTAAAAATACAATTTGCATACGACTTAAAAAAAAAAAAATGTTAATAAAAATTATTAACGTTTCGATAGAACAAATCCAAAAATAAGTTCCTATCAGAAATGATTATAAGAGGTTTTACCACTCTATAGGCAATTTCCCCTGTCCGATCCGCCGAAGGTCTTTCTTTCTAGGGTTAAAGGCCGGACTGGCGGGGTGTAAACAATTTAAGCGGAAAAGCAAACACAAACAGACAAGTGCCATACCCCCCTCAATCCCTGATAATGAGTACGGGAGAATGGTAATTGCCAGTGGCGAAATTCGGACGGCGAGTGGAGATAAGCACCGGCCCAACAAGTGCTGTAATCGCCATGATCGCTGACGGAGAAGGTAGTTTTTTATTTTGAACTAGGTATCGTTAAAGATATCCAAAACGATCCTGAATATTTATATTATTTCTTATCTTTATAGAATTACAAAAAGTATTCCCAACTCCAAGCATTGGAGTCCGAATAAAGGTGATCAATTCCAAGAATCTTTTATGTCGCCAATAACATGCATAATTCCAGTCCGAATAAATTCTTAACTCCAATAAGAGTTTACAATAAACATTGAAAGAATAAATGCGATTATTTTAATATATAATAATAATATACATAATTCTAAAACATTTGTTTGCCTGATAATAATCAAAACAAATTCATAATTTTTTACTAGCTTTTCAGATTCTAGGAAACCATAATTCCGAGAAACATAAAAAAGCATATGGAAATAGCTTTCCAGGATTAAATCTTATAATATCGAAATCATAACTTTAGAACATAATGGCTTTAACAACTAGAACTAGTTGGCTATCTGGATAACAATCAGCCAGGTATTTCCCCATACCAGCTTCGAACGATTACTGGTTATGATAATGGGATCGTTTAAGAAAGATGGGGGGTAAGTAAATGGAGCAGAACGATAGCACTCACCATTTCGTAGACATCGATGAGCAGGTTGCGCGGCAGTTCCGCCAGTCGGCTGATCCTGTCCAGCGCCGGAACCTTGGTGTTCATACTCCCGATCAGGGCCTGTAGCGACAGGTCGTAGAGGGCCTTCGGGGTATTCGGATTGGGATTTAGAAGGGCCACGAGCTGTTGGCCAGCCATCTCGCTCTTCTTTTCGTTTTCTTTTTGTTTTTGTTAACTTTATCGCTGTTTTATCGATTTAGAGGGGCGGGGACTCGCGGGAGGCGTGGCACTCTGCAACAAGTTTGGTTTCGTCCGATATTTGTAGGAATTGCATTCGCACACGTGCCGTTGTTTGTTAAGAAAGTGAGACAAAGGAAAAGCGAAACAAAAGCATAGCAAAAGCAAAAAAGCAGAAAGACCCGTAAACTATCCGGTTTTTTCAAGTGTGTTTTGCACTTCACTTCACTTTCTTTTGAGGCGTTCTTCGGTTTTCTGTTTTTGGTTTTCCTTTCTCTGCCAGCGTCGCTGTCCGCGTGCTGCTTTGCTTTTGCTTTTCGCTGCTTTTGCTTTTGCTGCTGCGATTGTTTTGCTTTCGCTTTAATTGGGTTTTATTTGGCACTTACACAACTTGGAATACATCTAATTGTCGGGGGCCGTCAGCTAAAGTCGAAATACTCGCCCACGGTTAATGCGTTGGGAATTGTTTTTCGGTCCTCCAGTCTACTGGCACTTTTTCTTTATTTTATTTTTTTACGATGAATCCAGTGGTGGCACAACCAGCACAGAGGCCCTATCGATAGCCACTGCTGAAAGGCTTCACTTCGGGGCGATATTTCGATAGTCGGTGAACGGTGGTTTCTTCTGGTGTGACCGTGCACCCTTCAAATTCCCCGGGAAGTATATTTTTAAATAAGGTGCCACCCATTTTATGTTTTCAGATACCATCCACGCTGCAGCTAAACTCTATTTTCTTGCATATGTTTAGCATAGGAAACTATTAATGTCTAAATTCTTTTAGGGAGTAAACAATTGTGTAATTTTTGGCCTGTAGCCCAAATTCCGATCACTATTTGCACAGTTGTTTCCAGCAAAAGTCAAAAGGGCCGAAAAATATAGTTAACGGATAACAAAAACTTTTTACTTTCCATATCAAAATCAAAACAAGGCCATTGATAGTTAGAAAACTCGAGGCAATGTGAAGAGCACCTTAGATATCATATATATTGTATATTTATATTTGAATTAATAACATAGTTTTTTAATTTTATTAATTAACAAAAATTCAACAAGATGAATTAATAACCATGGGTGCATGCAATATCAATATTTATTTTTAGCCATTAGCTTAGAGCCACTCGATACTGAAGAAATAATTATTTTTGAATGTCATAAATATATTTGTTCGCATAAATAGAAGTGATTCGGATGAAGTTTGGGAATTTACTTTATTGAATATTGAAATCTGTTATTACTGGATCTTGGTGAAATCATCTAAGATGTTCATGGTCGGTGGGAAAATACAAGCACATGAACTACGGCCTTTGCCGTCCTTCATCTTTCTTCATCGTCGGCTGTCATGGCCCATTATCCTCTCCTCATCAAAAAAGATCGACGGAGTCGTCCTCGATCTCCACCAGGGCAAAGTCGGAGGTGCTGCCGAACATCCACCAGTGGCGCAGGATGTTCCGGATGAGCAGACAGCGGGTGGTCACGAACTCGAAGAAGTGAAAGAATAGGGCGCTGGAGGTGAGCAGGGCGCAGGAGGCGACAAAAACCTCCTGGACGGTGAGCTGCTCGGTACTGCCTTGGTTAAGATTGTCCATGCACTGCAGAACCTGTGAGCCAGACAAAAATATTATTGAACATCCTGATGTCCTTGTTTAACTGGTATGGTATAGTGCTAACCTGCTGTAGAATTATGTGGGCCAGTGGCATCAGCGAGGCACTGAAAAGCAGGTGTTTCACAATCAGGCCGCAACAGCGACCGCAGCAGAAGGTTCGCATCATCTGCTTCAGGCTAACACGCTCCTCCGAGATGTCGAAGACCGCATTGCAGATCTCGCAGCGATTATCCCGCCTGTGCATAATCCAGCGCTTTAGGCACTTCAGATGGATGAAACCCTGCAAAGGTCACCTAGATCCCGTAAGCCCAAGAAACTCGATATCATCTCCCGAGGATTCCTGTTCGAATTTTTCACAAAGTTCTATCGTACTTACAGTTAATTGTATTCCTTAAATAAAGGCATTTTTAAATATATATACCCTGGATTTTTTCTAAGACATTCGCAATCACATTTATATTTTTTGATTCTTTTACTAAAGAATTCGTATTTTTAAGCTATAAACCATCAAAGATTTTTATAAATATTAAATCACGTTTCAATTCTTAAAAACTTTTACCAACAATTTTAACTTGATAGTTCAATTTTTAAAGAGATTTTAAGAGAAAGATAATAAAATTCATACATTTTTTTTGTGAATCTCGAAGAGGAGTCCCCCAAACCGGATTTGTTTAAACAGAAATGCCGGAAGTGAGCCTTGCTTACCACGCTGCCCTTGCAACTGCACGGGCACTTGATGATCTCCATGTCGCTGCGGTTCCAGCGGCAGATGCGGCACGAGTTGCCATTCTCGTTCGCCGAATGGACGCTCTCCTGCGAACTACGTCGCGTTATCGGTGGCAACATCCTTTGGCGCGCCGACGATATTTCCAACGCGGCCATCGAGGCGGTGGGTGTGCCACCGGGCAATTGGCCAGTCGGCGGACTTATTTCCGGCGAACAGCTGACTTCCGCTGGTGGCGCGGTAGGCGGTTGAACGGCAAGGGGCGTGGCACTGCCGGTGGCCACCAAGCCATTTAGCAAACGGAAAGCGGCAGACTCCGAAATAACGTGCTGATGATGCGACATGTTGCTGCGGGGATATTGTTGCTACTGCACCGCCTTTGAACTGCTTGCACGTCTGTTGAACTGCTTGGCGGTGTAGGCGTGTGTGTTCTTATGTGCGTTACGAACCAAATTTTGATTTACAAATTTCTACACCGAATTTTACTGCGACATCTTACATAAAACTTAAACGCTAGACTTTCACCGTGTTTCTAAGCACACCTGATATGTCATGCGTTGCCCAGAAACAAAAGGCACACTGGTCTACAAGTTCAACGACTATATTTTTGCTTTTTTATCTAGATTTACCCCATAAAAAAAGAGAAAAAACATTATGATTTAAAGAAAAGAGTCTTTTCCTTAAGGTTTCTTGGCTCTGCTAAATTGGGAACATACATTTTAAAACATTTCTTCAAAACCATTTTTAATGTTTCAAAACATTTTATACACCTTTCCACAAATGCAAAACTTTTCAAATTTGCATATCGCACAGTTTTTGGTTTCTAACTCCACATCGATTGTCTTTTATGTTGGAATCTTACAGTTACCTTTTAAATGGTTTTATCTAATCTAGAGCCTTCGTATTTCTCCACCATATTTGTAGACCACCAAAAATTAGGAACTTGGGATTCATTTGCTTTTTTTTATTTCTTTGCGGCCTTTTCAATGCCATCGGTTAGTAAATATTTCGTTCTCGTTACACGTACGTACATAGAATATATGTTTATTATTACAGTAATTCATCAATGTGAGCGACGGCATCGAGCGTATCTTAAATACTTTATCCAATGTCGATGACCGCCAGCAGGGTTAGTAACTGCACTGCTTCTTCTCTCCACAATTAAAATTATGACAAAAAAATATATAAATCAACAATTATTGCATAGTTTCTGCTTCAAGTTCGATAACAAATAATAATGCGTAATCGTAATAATAGTAAAAAAGGGTAAAACAAACACAAAAAAACGTACAAAGAGTCGGCTGTTCACGTTCGACGAGCCATTTGCGCTTCAGTTGAAGAATATACATATGCCGATTACACAGTTAGATATTCGCAGGATGACGGGGTCTAGAATTGGGTTTACACATATGGATGTAGGATTGTGGGTTATGCGGATATACACTCGTATATGGGGTGTGTGCTAACACGAAATGCCAAAGGGGATGTGTGGTGTATGCTTAAAATTTAATGAGTTGCTGCAGTTGCTGTTGAGTTGACTTGGATTTGGATTTGGATTTGGACTATTCTGCTGCTGCTGCTGTTGCTGCCACTGCTTTCGATGGATTCACTGACAGTTCCGGAATCGGCGATATATGCTCTGGACGTAGACAAAGACGCACTTCCAATCGGGGCGACTCATCTCCACCATATCCTCCACATCCAGCAGTGGTGCAATGCCAGCCTTCTCACTGCGAAATAACAAAGAAATTAATTAGTCATCACAGAAATTTCAATATCATAGTAGCAAATATATCTCTTTCGAGATTTATCTAAGCAAATGCAAGTCTTTAGAGAACAATTATCTAAAACATATGTTGTTTTCTCTTAGTGCTGCTAACAAACTCTTGCTTAGATATTCATTATCTAAAAATCGTATGGCTTTAAATAGTTTATTTTTAATAATTTTATTTAGATATTAAGTAAACAATAAAAACAATTTTTAAGTGAAAGCTAGAAGGCCAACTTTACTTTACTTGTTCTTAAATATAATATATTTTGATTTTCTTAAGTGCAGGATTTCCGCAAGTAAAAATGTACAGATTCTTGCAATTTTGTTGTGCTACATTATTAAATTAGCTATAGCATGCATTTCAGGGCACTCCACGGTGCGTATACTTACTCAGCCACGCTGAAGGCCAGCTCGAAATTGTGTCGTCGCGTCTGCTTGGTTAGTGTGTTGTAGTCAAATGCATCTGGCAAGAAATGGTGTATCAGCGCACAAAAGGCCAAGCCGTCTGACCAGCTCGAGCTAAAGTTGCTTATTTGGACGTTCTGCGAAACAACACACACATAATTTGCATTCAGTGATCAGTGGTGATCAATAATGATTGAGCGCACTTTTTTTGAGATGGTTGGCTGATTTTGGTTTATTTTTTATTTTTATTGAATGGCCCTTGGAGCAAAAGCAAAAGCATTTAGTGCGAGATTCCAGCCTCCAATACTAACTTAGACTAACTAGGTAGCTGTAAGTGGGTAAAACTAGGGTCAGCTAGGTCGGAACAATAACAACAACAGCGGCGATAACTCAGCGATTAAGCGAAATTGCCAAAACAAAAATAAGAACAATTAAAAACGAAAAGCAGTGATCGATAAGAATCGACAGCGTAAAGCGGTAAACGGAAATGGAAATGGCGTCCATCTTTCAATTTTCTATTTCCTTTTTCATCATTCGTAAGTTGTGTTCGTGTGCGGGTGTGAGCGTGTATGTGTGTGTGTCTGAGTGTGTGTGCGTGTATGAGAATTGGAGAAAGCTTTTAAGCTCAGCCAAAGTTAGGCGCTGTTAGATGTTTTTGCTTTTGTTTATTTTGTTTGTTGCTGTATTTGTTTTCGGTTTGTCGTTAGATTTGTTAAAAATGGCAAATTAAAAATCTTAATAACATCGGAGCGAACGGCAAAACTAAAGAAACGATAAAAAAACAAGTCATAGTGGCAGTTGGGGTCAAAATAAGACATGGTTTTCATTAAATGCAATCTTGAATCTTAAAAATAATCTTATAAAACCAATTCCGAATTTCTAATATCTTAAAGATGTAGAAAACTATAAGAGTTATTTAATTTTGACAAAGTCGATAAATACTAACAATAAAAACGATAAAGCTTTGTTATTTTGACCAAAGAACTATGTTTGGATAGATAAAAAGTAGTTCACATGTATTTCTCAAGCAAACTGTTTCTAGTTTACTATTTATTTTTTTTCTTTCATTTTCCTACTTTTGCATTCTCTGAAAACCTTTTTGTCACCGCTATTATTTTGACCTCAGGTGCAATTAAAAAATAACAAACAATGGCAAGGATAACAAATATTGGCTGTGGCTTCGGCATTTCATATATTTTTAGGGCTTGCTTGGTTTTGGTTTTTGGATTTTTTTTTTTTTTTTTTTTGGTTTAGGTTTTGGATACCTCATATTCCTGCGTTTTATGCTGACACCACTGCAGAAGTTGATCCTTGACAGTGGCGGCGCGCGCATTTAATGCCGGATCGGTAAATTTGAACAACGGTTGTGCCGAACCGCCGGGGGTCGTGGGTGTGCTTGTTGTTGGAGATGATCTGAACAAATGAGTCAAGGTTGGAGGATTGCAGACGTTTTAGCGAAACTCACACAAAATCGGTTCATCTTCATGTTGTTCTTAATTTCTTATATTTTTTCTTTTTTTCGTGTGTTTTTTGTTTGATTTTTTAGTTCTTGTGTTAAGTGTTTGTTTTTTGTATATCTTTTTTTGTGTATGGGTGTATATATAATTTTTTTTTATTTGTGTTAGCAAGAAACAACAACAACAATTATTTGAATACCAAAAAAAACTGGGAAATGGAACAACTAACGCGATGTTTTTGGTTTTCTGTCAACGAATTTTTACGTTTGGTTTGGTTGGAATTTTTCGTTTGCCGAAGGAAAACATAAAAAGACAGAGATAGACAGGAGAAGAGAAAAAAAGGGAAGATCGAGTTTCCATAAGCTAACCAGAATAACAGAGGGAGACAGTTGGGTGCTCTATGTACAGAAAGCGAAATCACTTTTCCCTTCACTAGTTCATCATCAGATATTGATTTTGCACATCGATATTTCAGGTTTTTTTTGGGGAGACGATACTACCAACACACTTCCATAGAGAACCAACACCAGAGATCGTATATGTACATATGTGTATGTTAAAAAGGGGGGGTGAAGATTGTGATTTTATTGTATCCATCTATTGTGTAAGTGTGCGACCAATTGAATTATTTTATTGTGTGTGGAAAAGGCTTGGAGAAGCAATCATTAAAATAGTGTTTTAAACCACCTTTTTTTTTAAATGGAGTTTCTATAAAATCAAGTTTTATTCTTTACACAGAAAACTCATAAGCCTCATGGTAAAGAAGACTAAATAAGCTTTTCTGAAAAAAAATGTTTAATCTTATGCCTAATGGCACTCTACAAGTTCCACATAAAAGTACATGGTTAAATTAAAAACCTCTTTAAATTGTATGCAGGAACTTTCTGCCTTGTTTAGTGCTAAAGTGATATAACATTTGGTTTTTTAATTTTTTTAAAACAAAGTTAGTGTCATAAAGGCACAATCATTAGGCACTGCTTGCTTCTCCAACTGCCTTTTGAATTGAATGGGTGACCTGCACAAATGTTGGCTTGTGTGTATAGTATGTATGCCCTCGCTACCATATGTGTGTCTATGTTTGTATGCTCGTCGATTTATGTATATATATATATATATGTATATGTATGGAATAATCTGAATAATAAGTGGGTGGGGGATTGACTTACTTTTGCGCCTGCTGGGCGGCTGCCTGCTTGTCCAGCTGCTTGAATTTAGCCAAAGGCGAGATGTTCTTGGAGGCAGCACTACCGCTGACAGTGCGTGTGGTAACTACAAAAATATATAATAAATAAATTAATCAATATGCAATTACCCAATCCCTTTGACTCACCCTTTGTTGTTGTTGTGGTCATAGTGGCACCGCCATCCTTGGACTTGGTTTCCGTTCGCTGTTCGCTGGTCGAGGAGCTCTTGTGCTGGGCTGCTGTGTGAATAGAGTTTTTTAGGGATGCGGTTTTGGTTTTTTTTTTTTTTTTTTTTGCAGCAGGTGGAAGAAAAAAGAGAAGCAAACAAATTACATATATTAGTTCTGGGGCATGCACAAAATCAATTACACAAAAAATATCAATCTGTTTGGGTAATCAACAATTCTTTGGGTTATTCAAAATTACATGTGTTTTGTATCTGGGCAGGCAACACATTTACACACTACGCAACGTGTTGGAAAATAGCACAAAAACATATTTGTTTTTAAAGGGTTTTTATTTCTTGGTTACATAATAACAGCTACTACGCAAAATTCAAAAAACAAACTGGCAAAATATTTAAGCTGCCACACAAACACGGGCAAGATTTTGTTCGCAGTGTGTGCGGTTGTGTAGTCCCCACGAAAGGAAACGCGCTACGGAAATCACACAAAAAACCAATCAGAAACCGTCGCTAATGGTGTGGATATGACTGTGGCGGTGGTGGTGGTGGTGCTTTCATTGTCCATGGCTGTTTTCATGTATTTAGTTACTTATATACACAGAGCTAAATATCAAGTGTTTCGAACTTAAAACAAGTAATTCAAAATAATCATTTAACTTAGAAAATATATATCTCAATTTGAATGGACATCATTGTTTTAAACATACTTTATCAGTATTGCAGCATAAGTAATATACAAAAACATATACATTTTACTTTTTTTTTTGCAACCATTTTAAACTTATTTATTATTTATTTATTGTATTTTCTATTAAGATTAAATTTTGAATATTTTTTTTTAAGTTCATTTGTACATAATTTACAATGTACATATTTTTTTCTGTGTAACAATGAATTTATAAAAAAGTCATGCACAAAATGTATTTACAGTTACAGCTAAAAATCAATGAACAGCATGCTTTAAATTGAGGGACAGGGAACAGGAGCAGATCAGCAGATCGACAAAAATATATAGACATAGATAAAAACCAAAAAAATAAACTGATCAATAAAATAAACGAAAAACACTGTTTCCTCATCTCATCTGTGCTGGGGTGTTAAGAAAAGAAATATATATATGTACAAGGGACGACAGAGAGAGAAACAGTCGATTAAAAAAGGAGGGACAACATAGGGGGTTTCTTTTTGCTGCTTCCGTTTTTTTTTCAATTTTTGTAATATGCTTTTTTTGAATCCTTGCTGGACCAACCAACCAACCAATCAACCAATCAACCAGTCAATCAATCAATCAATCAATCAACCAACGAACGAACGAGCAAAAGAGCAAAACGTAACAAGACGTAACATAACGTAACGTAACGCAACGTAAGGGGAGTGTAAATGGGGATAAGCGCTAAAAGTCGACGCATTTTTACATTTCCACACTTGGCTGAGTAAAAACTTTCAGGCAATAACAAATATGTACAAGAAAAACACACACACACATATGAAACACATACAGTTGTCTGTAAAATATTAGCTTTAAATAAAGCAAAGACATTTTTTATAGTTATATCAAGTATACGTAAAAATATCAAGTATACGTAATCAAAACAGAATAATATAAATAAGTGCATATGCCAAATTAGGATCGTTAAAACCTAGTAAAAAACTTTGAAAAACTCAACCTCAACGTATTAATAGTAAATAAATTGAAAGGACAATATTTATCATTATTCCCTTGTCTACTTTATACAATACTTTAAAAAGTCTTTTTTACCTATGGGTTTATTTAATCTCTAAAATTTAGAAACTGTTTGAGATATATTGAAATTTAAATAGTCCTGATAATACCTTTATCTTGATTGCAACTTTATGTTTTCATATGTGTGTGGTTTTTTATGCTGTTAGGCTGCTGCTGGGCGGTATAGCAATATTTTATGTATTTATTATTATCCTTTTTATTTTTTGGTAGTCAAGGCAGGGCAAGGGCGCTGGCAAATAAAGGGAAAAAATAGGGGCTTTCAAGGCTGGCATTCTGTGCATCTGATATTTTTTTCATATTCAACTCACAAATCTCGGAATATTGATCAAGTTGTTGCTATTGTTGATGTTGTTGTTCTTGTTGTTTGGGGCTTCATTGGGACGCAGTGCAGCAAACAATTCTTTTTCTTATTTGTTTATTATCGCGATTGAGCGTGTGTGTGTAAGTAGTGTTTTCAAAATTGAAAAAAAAAGGAAATAGAAACCGCCTGTGGTCCCTGAACTTTTTAACTATTGCTGCTTGGCCCTCAGTCGTTATCTGCGTTTTTCTAACTGCTTCACAAAACTCAAATCGAACATGGGAAAAGTGAGGGAAAGTGGGCGGGTAGGTGGTTCTGGGTGGGTGGGGCTTAACTAAAACAAAGCTAATCCTAGGCTCAACAGTAGCGCTTGAGTTTATCAGTAAACATTAATCAGTACAGTTGCCGTTACAAGTTACAGTTATCATTCCGTTTCGATGTCGATTTTTCGATTCGATTTCGTATATCTTCTTTTTCTTGCTTTTCTCTTCTTTTTTTTTTGTTGTTTTTGGTTTTCTTTTGTTATTATTTGATTATGTTCTCATCCAGTTTCGAACTGGAATGCCTCAATGCGTGTGATTTTATATATTTTCGGGTGGGTTAAATTCTTGGCTTGAGTGGTTGAGTGGTTGGCTGGACTGTTTGTTATTTGTTTAATTATTGTTTTGTAAATTTTAGGCACCCATCATTAGCTGCTCGAAGGCATCCTCCACATTGCTCTCGTCCAGCAGATTGAGATTCGCGATATGCGGCATGGTGGCACTGCGACTGAGGCCACCACCGATCATGGCTGCCCCACCGCCGCCGCCACCGCCACGGATCATTCCCAGACCGGCGGTGGAAACGTTACCATTCGACGTCGTCAGCGAGCTCAGTGATTTCCGAGCTGCCGCCGAGAGTTTTTCACTCGTCTTGGTGCGATTAATGGCCGATTTTCGACTAGATGTCGCGGAGGTGGTCATCGTCGTGGTGCGCAACTCCTCCACTTGGCCGCCGGTTGGTGACTTTTGACCGGAGAAGTAGGCAGCCACCGTTCGCTGCTTCTCACTGACCTGGGCCTTATCAATGCCCGCCTCGTAGAGTTTCGGCACAGCGAGGGAGTGTCCGGATTTGGAGCGTCTCAGCTCGCTGGGAGATCCGGGTTGATTGTATTTCGCCGGACTCGGACCCGCCGTCTGTTGCAGCTGGCAGATTTGGTTCCACGAATCGCACTTGCTCAGACGATTCACCCGCGATCCCGATTGCGCTCCCTGGTGAGAATCCTCCTCGTGATTCCTCCGGCTCATCGAGGTGAAGGCGCTCACATTGTTGAACACTATGTTGTGGGGTATCTCGTCTTCGGGGGGAACTTGTGGCTGTGGTGTCGCTGGCGTTTCCACAATGCTCGGCTTGATTTGCTGATGCTGCTGTTGAAGTTGCTGTTGCTGTTGCTGTTGCACCACCGTGGTGCTGGTTATTGTGGTGGTGGTGCTACTGCTATTTCCCTGCTTATTCAGCTGCGGACTCTGATAAGAATTGGGCATGTAGTGGTGGCGTTGAGGAGGCCCGAATTTCTTTAACAGCGGTGCATTCTCCTTCGGCAGCGAGGATTTAACTATATCCGGTGTGTCTGGTGGTGCCGACGACTTGTACTCCTGCTCAAAGTAGGTACTCCTCTGGCTGCTCTCCAGGACATTGCCCAAACTCTTGCGGCGCAGCTCGCTGATGTGCTGCTCCTTTTGCTGCTTCTGGACGGTGGTGCTATTGTTGCTGCTGATAATGCTGGAGTTAAGGGTTTGCTGTGACATCACACGATTCTGCAGGGGACGATTATCGTAGCCGGAATCACCTTGGATGGTGTGACTACGCGCACTAAGCCTGGGAGCGTGTCTAGGCAGATTGTTGGTTATAGTTTGTGGCACCTGTTGAGGCAATTGCCTAGGCAACTGTTGTGGGATCTGCTGAGGGATCTGCTGAGGTAACTGCTGTGGTAGCTGCTGCTTAGGTGACTGCTGGGGTAACTGTTGAGGTAACTGCTTGGGCAACTGCTGGCTTAGCTGCTGGGTTAACTGCTGGGGTAACTGTTGGGGTAACTGCTGGGGCAATTGCTGCGGGATCTGATGTGGCAATTGCTGAGGCAACTGCTGAGGGATCTGCTGAGGTAACTGCTGAGGTAACTGCTGAGGCAATTGCTGGGGGATCAGCTGAGGGATCTGCTGAGGTAACTGCTGAGGTAACTGCTGAGGAACCTGTCGAGGAACCTGCTGTGGAACCTGTTGTGGAACCTGCTGAGTTACCTGCTGAGTCACCTGCTGCGACTTCTTCTGAGGAGCCTGCTGAGGCATCTTCGGGCCCATTGGCTGACTAATCTGCGGCTTAGTGCTGCGATCCACTGGAGGTCCCATGGAACCCACAGTGGGAACTGTATTGTGCACCGGATTCGCTGTCCAACTGGTGCTGCCCAGTGAAAGTGAGGAGCTGGCATTGGAGTGCTCCGAAGCGCGACGCAATCGCTGGGTCACAGACATGGCCATAGATTCCTGTTCGGGCTCATCTCCGGAATCGTCCACGGGATAGGTGACCACATAGGAAGTGTGGGTCTCACCCAAATAGGAATTGGCATCCTGATTGGTTCTTGGCGGTGTATATGTGGGATTCGCCTGGTAGTTGATCTGTGGCATGCTGACTGCAGGCGACGTGGACATGGGCGAAGTGGTGAACTGGGGCTGTCGCTTGGCCTCAAAGGTGCTCAATTGCGGGAAGAGTGGCTCCACCAGAGGCGCCTGGTACTGACGACCATCGGGCGAAAGGCAACCCGATTTCGGTGAACTGGGAGCAGTCAAAGGTTGCCGCCTTTGGTTGGTATTGCCAGCTTGGGCCGATTGATTACCAGGACCACCTCCCAGCTGTTTCATCGTGTACAGCAGGGACTTGGCCGCCCTTGAATTCTTCCCGTAAACCTCGTCATCGCTCATATGAGCGTTTCTTCTGTCCGCCACTCTCACAGCTGTCTGACTACGTGGCTTTCGCATCACCTTCGTTTCGGCCCGATACTCCAGCATATTGTTGTCCGAATCCAAATCGAGATCATCATCCGTATTGTCCGTCATCAGAGTGGGATTGGGCATGGTCATGAAGCTCGTGGGACTGTTGGGTGGACTGTCCACATCCACATCGATTGGACTGCTGATGTAATCGAATCTCCTGCTTCCAGGTGGTGGCAGATAAGTGGGATTCGAGCTTGTGAGTACTAGCGGAGCTGCCAACGGATTGGTCAATGCCTCGGCCTGTTCCACAGCACTCGTGAGGCAAGGTTGACTTCTGTAGTTGTGGGCATTGCCACGTTGTTGACGTGCCACTGGCGGAAAATCAGCGTACGTAAAGGATATATTTGTGGGTGGCGGTGGAGCTTGAAAGGCCTGTCTAGGTGGTGCAACTGTTCCCGGTTCCATGGCGTTCGGCAGCGATGGTCTCTTCTTGAACTCGCTCAAAGCTGGCGCCTTGGAACGCAGTGAATTGTGACGCTGTAGATAACCATTATTGCCATTGGGATAGGATGGTTGCTGCTGCTGATGTTGCTCTAGATTGTCCCTTAAAGACCTTTCTTCAAAGTGGTGCGCCTTGCGTCGGAAATCGCTGTTATCCACCTTGGGCTTTGCCACCCAGGGTAAACCGATGGGTGAAGTGGCCGTTGAAGATGGCGACGGTGTGTTGCTATACGATGTGGCCGATCTGGCCTGCAAATGTTGCTGCGATTGCGGTGGCTGTGCTGGCTGCTGCTGTTGCGTTGGAGGCTTCCAAATGGCCGGATTGGGTTGGGATTTCTGAGCGACGGGCTTGTAAATACCGGGCTGCGGTTGCGTCTCATTTTCAATAGGACGAAAGACGGACTGTGGAGCGTGAATAAAGTTGTTGACTTGTGCGGCCTGCTCACGCTGCTGCTGGAGTCGCAATTCCATTTCCTGACGTCGCTGGCGCTCAAGCTGCTCCTGTTGCTGGCGTTGCCTGTCCAATTGCTGTTGTCTTTCGGCCTGTTGTCGCTGCAATTGCTGTTCGTAGTATTCCCGTTCGAGGCGAGTTCGCTCCTCTCGCTCATAGCGCGCCTCCTGTTCGAGTCGCAGTTGTCGTTCCAATTCCTGGCGACGTTGCCGCTCGATTTGCACAGCGGCAGAAGCTTGTTGTTGCTGCTGGAGTTGCATTTGATCGCGTTGCAGTTGTTCTCGCTGGAGTTGCTCCCGTTGGAGTTGCTCTCGCTGGAGTTGCTCTCGCTGGAGTTGCTCTCGCTGGTGCTGTTCTCGCTGTAGTTGCTCGCGCTGCAGTTTCTCACGTTGCAACTGCTCTCGATGGAGTTGCTCTCGTTGGAGCTGCTCTCGCTGGAATTGTTCTCTCTTAGAGAGTTCCCGTTGGTTCTGGTCTCGCTGGCTTTGCTCTCGCTGATATTGTTCCCTTTGCAGTTGGTCTCGCTGTAACTGCTTCAGGTCCCTCTGACTCAACTCCCTGTGCTCTCGCTGTCTTTGCTCCCTTTCATACTGCTCCCGTTGCATCTGCTCCCGCTGCATTTGCTCTCGCTGCAATTGCTGATGATGCAGCTGCTCCTGTTTGGCCCATCCGGGCACATGACCAGGCACTGGCGGCGGCTTACCCTTGGTCACTGTGGCCGCAGCTCCCGTCTCAAAGGTGTGCTTGATGTTACCAAACTTGTGGGTCCAATTTGACACACTCCGTCCACCACCGCCGCCCCAACCCAAGCCAGTCTGATGACTCTGCTTGTTGATGAAGGCCAGGAACTTGTGATCGTTTTCTGTTTTTGGCTCAAACGGCGGCACCGCATTGTGAACACGTCTCTTGACGCTCACCTGCACTGCCCGTTTCAAACCCAAATGCGGGCCATGGTCATCCTCCAGATCCGAATCCGAATCACAGTCCGCCATGTACTTTGCCTTAGCTTTGGGTATATCAATGGTGTTGGCTCGCTTCATCAAGTGCTTTTTGCCACCACCAAATCGGCTGGAATTCGAACTGGAGTTCGAATTGGATTGCGAATTGCTGGGCGAGTTGCCGTTGCCCTCAGGACTTGAGTTCTGTGAGTTCTGATTTGCCTCGTAGCTGGCAAAGCTCACGGCATAATCGCCGGACAGTGGACGTCGATTGGTGTTGGTATTGGGTCTCAGTTGAGATTGATTCTGGGTGGGATTCACAGGTGCTGCATTGGGTGTGATGACGGCTGACTGCTGCTGCTGCTGCTGCTGCGGGGGTTGTGCCACAAATTGATTGGGTCGGTAGAGTTGCACTGGCACTGCACCCGAACTGGGTGTCTTGGTGATCGCAAAGTCCTTGCCCTCCAGGATCAGCATGTCCTCCATGTAGCGACGAGCATCCGCCAGTTCCTCTCGACTAACGCCAACGGTATGCCGACTGTTGCGCTGGCGTCGCTTCGCAAAACGAGATTGCCGACTGTCCGTTTCCGGTTCCGGACTACCACCATCTGCGTCCTTCTGATCCTCCCCCGCCCGCTGATCCTCCGCCAACTTCTCGGGCGCACTGAGTCCACTCTGGAGGCGGGCCACCAGGCCGAGCAGAGCCTGCCGCTGACCCCCATCAACGGCTAGTTCCTTGCCTTGTTTCAGGCTGCTCTCCAGGCGGCTGAGGGCATCGGTCACTTCCTCGACCAGGCTGCGATTCGCTTCACTGGCATCGCTACCACTTTGCTGTTGCAAGGTGTCACGCAATCCGGCGGCTAGCAGACGCAAATCCTCACCGCTCTCCGTGCCGGAATCCTCTTTCGAGGGCACGCTCAAGCGGCTGGCTGTGCTGGGTGCTCCTGCTCCCGCTCCAGATCCAGTCCCAGATCCCGTGACTGGCATTGTATCTGGCTTGGCTTTGTCCCTGGCCCTAACCACTGTGCTAACCTGGCTACTGCTAAGACTACTGGATTTCCTACTACCTATGCTATTACTCTTGCTGCTGCCTGGTCCTGCTGCTCCTGTGGCTCCTGTTTTCGTAGCTGTCGTTGCTGGCAGGGACTCACCCTGCTGCACCTGGACACCGTCTGTGGTGGAGGAGCTGCTGCTACTGGCCAGCTCAACTGTGGCCAACTTTTTGCTAACACTTTCGGTGACTTGGCTTGTGGTCTTGGTCTCCGTCTTTTTATCCACCTTCTGAACAGCTCTCTGTTTGGCCTCCTCCTGTTTGGTGACCTCCTGTTTGGTGACCTCCTGTTTGGTGACCTCCTTTTTGGTCACCTCCTTTTTGGTCACCTCTTTTTTGGTGACCTCCTTCTTGGGATCCTCCTGCTTGGCCGGAACTTCCTCCTCCTCCTCCTCGTCGCTGTAGTCGGTCACCTCCTCGATGATCTCCTCATACTCGCTGGCGCTGCTCTCCTCCTCTTCTTTCTCCTGCTTCGGCGCCTGCTTCAAATTCTTTTGCTCTGCTCGGAGCAGCAAAGAAAGTCAAGAGATAAAGGAGAGATAGATAGAGAGATAGAGAAAAGTGCTGGAAAGACTTAAGACTCGCAAACAGGAACGCAATGAAGCAAAACAAAAACTTGGGTGGGGATCTCAGTAGCTCAGTTGATCGAGTCCCTTAAGTGAGAAGTTATCCTCAACTAAGTAACTCAGAAATATAATATTTTAATGGTGTATGAGATTGGATATTTGGATTTATCTCAAAAACTGGGACGTCTTAAGAAAAATAGAGTCGAGGCATAAGCATTAAGAATACTCTTTAGACCCGACAGCTATTTTTCTTAATGCCTCACAGGCTTTTAAGACATCTCAAGATATCTATGTTCCCATCACCAGTCCTTCGGATTCGTACATCTGAGCATAAAATAAAATCAAACAGATTAACGATAACAGACTTCGTGTATCGATGACTTGTTTTTCGAGTACAATGGATCGATTCCAATTATATGTGGGTCTTCGACGTGAGACTTTCACTGAGCGACGACAACATTAAACGATAGATAGTACAACAAAGTAACGATGGTAACGATAGCACTATAACGATAACGATGTGTGGAGCGCGACGAGGAAACGATAGATGTTCATCGACTGGGGAGGAACAATGGACATGACCAACATCAAAACGCTGGGTAGTGCAATACCTGGAGACTAACGGTAACCGAGTGAAATCGGATAAACGGCTTAACTTTCGTCCTAATGACTTCACCTTTTCCTGCCTAGCTAGTTGCTGTGCGCATTATCTATAAGATACAGATACAGAACACAATATTGAGACGGTTTTGTCTCGATATCACTGCGTTTTTCCATGTGGAGATCTCTGGCGTCTCCGCTGCTGAAGAAGTGTTGGGCTAATCCGCTGGCTTTGTTTGGATGGGGGATATTACGGAGATATGGATTTCAAAAGGGGCACTCACCTTCGCGTTCCGCCATAAGTTCGCGTAGACGTGCACGGATCTTGCGACGCTCCTCGTAGGTGGACGCCTGTTCCAGCTGCAAGCGTTCGAGGATGGATGATGATTGGTTGAACGGGTTGAATTTGATGGCACGACTGATTCTAGGATCTACGTTGGGTAATACTCACCAATTGCTTGAGGATTTGCTCGTCCCAAATCTCCTCGATGTCACAAGTTGTGCGTGTAACTGGTGCTGAGGAGCTGCTGACCTTGTTGGTGGTACTATTGCCGGATTTGCTGTAGGTGTTGGTTATCCGTGTGGTCTTTACCTAAAAAAGCGAGAACAGAAGATTTGGCGGAGATCAGAAAGCGTTCAATTCTTTTCTCTTTCTTTTTTTGTTTATCAACCGGAAAATTTCATTTAATTTTTGTGTGTGGGTGAGAAACAAACGCCAGCTGTTTGGGGCCTGGCTAAATAAAGCACGATGAGCACATTCGCCGGCCACAGAATCCACGCCAGCCAGCGCAATTATTCACTTGCCAAGAGTTGCCAACAAAATTTGGTGGCACCTCGTTCGATCGATGGCCGTGATAAGGCAGAAACCAAAAATCAATTTGTCAGTACGATTTGTCCTTAGCCGTGATTTCGAATGCATTTGTTTGCTGCATTACCCCCGTTCAGCTTCCGCCAGCAGTTGATCAATGTCGTTGCATACCTGTCGTATGCGTAATATGCCCAAGTAAAATATATAAAGTGCGCATACGGCACGTTGACCAAAGGTAAAATCATCAACAAAGGGGAATGTCGCATCGAAACATTGCATTGTTTTTACTTTATTGTTTGCAAAAAGATGCCAGATAAGAAATAATTTATTTACCCAGTTCCGCATGTAAATGAATGTTCATTATATATGTCAAAGTTGTATGTAATAACCTTAATAATTCATATTTTTTAACTTAAAAATGAATACATATTAATATTAAAATTCCAACCACAAAGATTTTTGTCAATTAACCAATTTTAAATGTTTTTCCAGGAATATATATTTAAGTCGTTCCCCTCAAGAGTTCATTGATATTGAACGACATCAAAATAAAAATGTTATCAGCGAATTTATGGCGAAAATTCATTTAAATTGCCCCAAAAGAAAAATCTGCCAATAAAATTTCTCTTTGTGCCGATGGACAGCACATCAGATAAATCAGCTAAAAGCGTTTATGGACCTCTGAATTGATGCCAAATATTGATGCATACGTATAGTAAATGTCTTTATAGATATATAGAGTGCAATTAAGTATACGCGTTGGCCTGCAAGTTTTAACGATGAAGCATAGATGAAAAACAACGCAAATGCCGAAAAGCGAATGGTCTGTGTTTGCTCTTTTTCTCTGCTTCTGGCCAAATATAAAAAGGTAGTTGATATAAACAACAATTTGACCAAATTTGGTCAGCGGCATGGGAAATTTTCTTTTTGAAAAACGGACTTTCGGCATGCTCGAAAACGCCCCCGCTCTTCCTCTTGCAACACGCGTTTCTATTTTTAATTATAAATTATTTAAGCACACACACATCCAACGAACGGGTCGACCATATTTCAGGAAAAGTTCCTCATATTTTCCTCTCTCTCTCTCTCTCTCTCTCTCTCTCCCTCTCTCCCCCTCTCTCGCTGTTCTTTTGGGCCAACCTTTATATAATATTTTTGTTGTCTTATAAACAAAGTGTACCGAAACAACAACAACAATAATCAAACCAAAATTAATTGCCAAACATTTTTACAATTCCCGCCGGCCCCTTTAGCTTTTGTTATTGTTGTCAAAATGTGGGCCACGAAATACAACAATTTTCAACTTATTTGACTTAGTTTAATTTGAATTTTATTCTTTCGTTTTATTTTTAATAATTTCTTTTGTTTTTGTTGTTTATTTTTGGTTATTTTTGCTTTGGGGGACTGAAAAGGCTTGCCAACTATTTGGCGCAATTCCGCCAAAGCGTAACAAATAGAGGGGCAGCAATCCAAGCATGGAAATCAAAATGGAAATTGCAAAAAGAAAACAATTAAAATGATTCGGTGGGCGGGGGAAATGGGGAGTGCAGCTGACCAGAGCGATCATTGCCAGTTAGCCGTTGTTGCTGCTGCACTTGGCCATTGACTGTTGGCAATTGCTGCTGGTCAACACTTCTTTTTTTCGGCTTTGACACTGCCTGAAATACTGGTGAAATGGTGGAAGGGGTAGAGACAGCCTTTTGATTGATGGTCACCAATTTGTAGAGGAACCTGGCACTGCCGAGAAGTGGGACAAGTAAATATTAAAACTTATTTTAAAACTACTACCCTCGCATATATATTTTTTTGTAAGGCAAAAAAATCCTAAAGAATAAATTTATCTTTTGAAATGAAATTTCGCTTTAGACTACAATTTTTAGAACGTTTTAAAAAAGTATTTAAAAAGGGTAGACATTTATTTTTTTTAATAAATCTTAAGTAAGCAAGACAAAATGCACTTTTGAAAGACAAATAGCAGAAAGTTAGATGCATCGAAGAGTATAATTTTTAAAGGGAATTACTAGAACGTATTTTTGAAGGAATATAGGGAAATCCTACAAAGAAATTCCAAAATGTTATCTCTTTCTGTTACTTGTTTGTAATTTAAAATAGTTAATTGTTAAGCACTATTAGAAGCAATAACAATATACAATTTGATATAATCAATTGTTAAATAAAATTTATTCAGGGTATTTAAAAGATAATTATAAAAGTTTTAGGAAGCTTAAAATTGTGTGGTTACTTTTTCATTCGCTAGAATATAAACCTAGCTGTCAAAAGCAATTTTTCTTTCAGTGTATTTTAGTACTTGACAACAATTGGACCAGTATTGACCTCCTCCCATAACAAAAAAAAACACAACCAATCATGCACGAAAAAAAAATGTACCGGATTTTCCATGCGAAAGAATGATGATTTTCATTTTGCGTTTCCAAATTGACTTTCTTTCGTTTTCGATTTTTTTCTTTTGTTGTCCGTCGTGTTGTTATTTGTATTTTTAGCTCGCGCAAAATGAGAAATTATTTGACATGCAAAATGCGAGGCAAAGACAAAGGCGATACAGCCAACACGCACACACAGCGATTATGAAACGGCAAAAAGCAGGAAGAGCAGCCAACAAAAAATGATTGGAACGATGGGAGTCGCAGTTAATGCTGTTTGACAAAGCACGATATGCGGGATATACACCTCATACATATATTCTGCAGCATGCATCTTGAACCACCAAATATATGTATATATATATAAATATATTATGGGGATTTCTATTGCGAGAAAAAACATCGTTACTCGACATTTGTGTTGGATTAGCTTCACTACTTCAGCTGTTTGGTTTCTGTCAGGGCTTAAGTTATTATCCCCTGTGTTACCAAAACCTCCAAAGATTTTAAAACAATATTTTCTGTTTCCCAAAGTCAGCAATAAAATATTTGGTTTGTGTGCTCTTATGTAAACATCGACTTATTATGATTCAAAGTTGCTCATCGTTTTTATTAGTTTCATTAAAAGGGTGTAAAAAAGCCCATAGCTTATAAATGTAATTTATTTAATATAATCAATGATCAAACTATGATATTTTTATGCAAATAAGCTATATTTTTAACAAAAAAAAAACAACACCTTTAATTATAATGGGTTTATTTAAAAGATAAAAAACTAAAGCAAAATTATCGCAGTTGCTTTTGATTTTATTAAAATTAATGGTTAAAGGTATTAAATAAGTCCATGTATATTAGTTGCAATTTCATATTTTCCTATGGTCATATTTTCAAGTTTTCTGTATTGAACTTCGCAACTCAGTGTGATACGGGCATAATGGAAACCGGCTTCCCAACTCTGAGCACTTGCAGCAGCTCCAGCAGGCGATGCTTAATCACCGAACGCAAAGCTGGTGAGCTGAAAGGGGGACTTTGGGGGACTCAGGAGGCAGAGGCGGCGTTTGAGGATTTGCCGCTCTGCATGTTACGCTCAACTAAGTACAGGGGCAGCAACACAGCACACCTGAAAATGGCAAACAGAAACGGCATTTCTCTACGTTCCAGTTCGATCGGTTGGAATCGGGGATCCGTGGAGTTTGCATTGTAAAGTGGACGTTCTGGAGTGAATGCTACTATATCGGAAAGCTCACTTTAGTGGCGAAAATATAACAAATGATCAGTTTATAATAATATGTTAAGACTTGCAAAAATAAAACAACTATAAAGTATTTTAAAAAGAAAATGTAGTTGCCAAGATAGGTTATAATTTGTTTCTGACCTATAACAGTTTTTTAAATGTTTGTTTATTTTATAACTTTTTATTAAGCCCATACATTTAGGTATTGGACTATCAAATCTGCAATATATTCCACTTGCAGATCTATATCTATCAAATCTACTATATATTTTTGTGAAAAACCAAAAAAACTTTACGCCCAACATGTTTATTTTGGTACCTAAACATTCGAAATTTGCAATTCAAAAAATTCTTTGAAGTTAAATATAATTCTATAAAAATAGGACATTTCCTACGTCTGCACTTTATAAAAAGATGCAAGAAAAATTTGCATTTTAAACGCAGGAATCTTCCCAATCAGCTGGAACCATGGTGTTGGGATTCATTTTTGGAAGGAACGATTCCCGATCTTCTCGAAGAGGAGATGATATCCACGACGAAGTTCCGTCCAAACGGACTTGTGTGTATATATCGCATATATCTGGGAGAATTCGAAGCATCGGCTGTGGGGAATACGTGTATATCAGTGGGAATCGGTATTTGGTTCACTCAAGTGGAGGAAACGGGAACGTCAGATGCCTGAGTCCGCTGCACATGCACCATCCCAAAATGCCCACCGCCCGCTGCCCCCCTTCCCGCTTCCCGCTTCCCCCTTCAACCATATTGTGTTGCCCAAAAATGCTCCAACATAGTCCGTATAGTCCGTAAAAATAGTGCCCGTCGTTGGAGCTATTTTCGTCGAAATTTTCCGTACGTTTGACGCTCTCATTCATGCATCCTCCTGCTCTCTGCTCTGTTTTTAAATGTATTTATTTATTTATTTGCTCTATAACTAGGGGAGATGAGCGTGTCTGTATCTCGGCAGACTTCTAAGTATATATACATGTATAAATAGCTATATGTATCGGTGGATATAGATCTTTCAAAAAAAAAAATATATATGTACATATATATGTTTTAGAGCTGTGGCGGTGTCGTCGCCTTTCAGGTGCATTTTGAGGTGTCGTGACAGGAATGCTTCGTTTTGCCAGCAAATTATGCGCACTAAAAATAATTGACAAAAGTATTTGCCCTCTCACCTCCCTCATCTAACTTTTGTAACATCTTGCCCCACAAGTGACATGAAACTTACGCTTTTCTCTGCGTTTCTATTGCCTCTTGTTTTGATGTTGCTCGTGATTCTCGGGATGTTGCTGTTAGACCAAATATGGACACTCGCGTTCGTTCACCATATAACGATAATATAATAACAGAACTGCACAGTAAAAAAAATTACAAAACTTGTCTTTTATATGCGCTTCTATTGCTTATTATTACTCCTTTTTCTTTTCTTTTTATTATTTTTGTTAACACAAGTGGTTCGCTTGGCACTCTTTTATTATTATTTTTGCTTAGCTCTTTTGCCCGTGGTTCTTCGCACAAGTGAAGTGATCGATGCCGCCTCTGAGTTTCTACTGACAATTTCGATCTCGATGCCGAGATGCGCTGCTTCTGCCTCTGCCAGCGTCGCTGCCTCTGCTGCAGCCTCTGCTAATATCCGTTGTACAGCAGCGGTAGAAATATCAGCATTTTCTAATATATATACTTATTTTAATAATGACAATACACAATTTCAACGAATCTTGTTTTTAAAAATGTTATTTTTGTTCAATAAAAACTTTTTTATTTTGTCCGGTTTGTTGGTTTATTAACTGTGCTGTGTTTTTAAATATAAAATTATCAATAAAGAAAATGATTATACAAATGTTAGGCTTTAATTTTTTTGTAAAGGTTATTTTATATTATTTGCAGGTAACTTAATATTTTTAAATGCACTCTTTTGATTTTGCCTTACAAAAAAAGTTAATTCTTATTTGCAGAGCTATTTTTTCTGCCCCAACTGTATTTCTAGCTTTCTGACCAGCCGAGCGTATTGCGCATCTATCGCATCTCTTCGCACATCGCATCACGCACACGGCACACTATGCCCCAAAGTGGCTGTTTTACAAGTGCGAGTGGGACGAGTGAAAGGTGGGGAGAGAGCAACGGTTGTTGCACACCAGACTCACAAAAGAAAAGAGAGCGGAAGGGGGGTGACTGGGGAGCCAGAGCACGCGCTCAGTTAACGGTTAATCGAGCACGTGCACGTGCTTGCGCGCATCATTGAGGTTAGGTTATGCTTGCATGGCACTTGCAACAACAAAGAGTGCTTAAAACGTGCAACAAGTGCTGGGAAAACTGTAATAAAATACGGCTTTTTGTGCATTGAAACCTTATATGGAAGATAACTTTGCAAAATCATTTTTCTCGGCAATGGGTAAGACAGGGTACCAACAATACAATTACGCCATTTACATGGTTTAAATATTTGCGTGTCAAATTTAGCATGGCCAAAAATATTGGAACAAAAATAAATAAAATGCTTTTCTAATGCCAATATAAGACTCAACTATTAAAACACAATTGAAATAAGTGAAAATTAAACTATTTGCCTTTTTTTACTTACCCCTTGACTGTTTAGACGTTGTCCCGTGGCAGTAGGCGGTAACATGCTCTCCACACCCTGCATAATGACACTGGCGCCCAGGAATTTGTTGAGCAGAGCACGGGCCTCGCGATCCTCGCTAGTATCTCCGGCCTCCTCCACTAAAAAGACAGAATATTTCAGTAAGAATTTTTTAAAAACTCAAATGGGTAATCTCTAATTCTCACCATTATCCGCATTTCGCATTCGCTCGAGGACATCGTCCACGCTGGTCACCTGACGCTGATCGGCACTGCTGTTAAGAAACGATCGTGTATTGCTCGATCGAGTGGTGCTACTGATGTGGCTCTGATTCTGACGCATCTGTGGTGCCTCGATTACACTGCACACTTCATTAGACTCGCTATCCTCCTCGGTCTCGTCCCCATGCCTCACCAGCGATTGGGCAGTCGAGGATTGGGTCGAATGGGTGGATGAGGAGGACTCTTTGCGGATGAACTTCTCGCTGAGCTCCTTCACCGAACCCCTACGCACATATCTGGCATCCTCCGGTAGCGATTGCTGGGACTCTACCTTCTTGAACTCCCGCACCACACGGGCATCCAATTCCGGAGGTGAGCTGTCATCCTCATCCTGAAGTTGCTGCTTAATTGCAGCCAGCTCGTCCGCATTGCTGGAGTAAATCAGTTCCTTGCGCTCGTGACGAGGCGGGGACTTGTTATCCGAGTAGAACTGTTCCTCGATCACATATCCTGTGACTTCTGGGTATAAAACAAGAATGGGTATTAAAAAAATTATATAATACATAAGGATTATCTCCCCACTCACCTTGCTTGGTCTCACAGGGTTCCTCTATCGGTGGCGTCGCTTTCTTCTTGAGCGCCCGAATTCCAAATAGGGGTAATCCGTTCTCATCCGTGGGTCCCACACCATAGCTGGAGGTGATCGAGTCCTCCTCGCCCTGCTTGTTACGAGAGTTGGTGGTGCTACTGGAGCTAGTGGTGGTGCTGGAGCTGGTCAATGTACGAGTGATTTTGCCACTGCTCGAAGTGGTGCTAGAAGTGGATCCCTTGCGTGGAGTACTTCCATTTGTTTGTTGGGGAACGGTCGCATGACCTTTCAGCACCTTGGAGCGATCTGCCCAAATGGGGCCTTGAGCGGGTTTACTGGGAGCACCTCGGGTAGTGCTACTAGTCGTGACCTTGGTGGTTAAAGTGGTGCTTCTATCTCCGGGCGATTGCTTTCCCGGTGGACTATTGCGCCGTTTCTGGGCGGGACTCGCACTTCTTTCCCTTGGCTTCACTGGCGGCTTACCCTGCGGTGATGTTTTTCCTGGTGCGGTAGTGCTGTCCACCTGCTCCACTCGTCGACGACTCGTGGTAGTGCGCACTTCCTTGAGGCTACTGCCAATGGACTTTGTTTCAGGACTGCCCACAGGACTCTGCTCCCGCTTCTTGGGAAGCGGTGAACTTTTTCCCGGAGTCGTTGTGGTGGTAATTGTGGTGATTGTGGTTGTCGTGCCCGCATTAATCATGTTTTTGCGAATGAGACGCATCTGGGCGCGAATGCGACGACGCATTTCGTAGCTTGCCACTGTTTCTAGGAGTTTCTCGAGTCGCTGAAGATCAAAGATCTCCTCGATCTCAAGCTCCAAATCGGAGTCGTCATCTTTACCTTTCAGGGAGCCCTTCCTAGGCTCATCTCCACCCCTCGACGGTGTCTTCCTTGGCACATCGAACTTTACGGATGTGTTGGGATTGCGTGGCTCTACCGGGGAATCGTCCTCCACGGAAGACTTTCTGGAATAGTGACTCTTGTTAATCTCCAGCGAATCGCGTCGAATGTGCTCCAGTGAGCTCTTCGTGTGATCCATGTACGAGGGACGCCGTCCAGTGGGCTCGGACTCCACTGGAGTTTCCTGGGCTGGCGCTACCTCAAATACATTCCTGCGGCTGCCCACATTTCGTCCAGTGGTGTTCGTCGTGTAAGTGGTGGTGATGCTCTTTTCTGTAAAGGATTCAATGGGTGTGATTTCGGGCTCGTCATTGGTCGGGTTAGTTGGAGTCGGTTTGGGAGTGGTTGACTTGGTGGTGCTCGGGTGGCGGTGCTCAGTGGTGGTGGTAGTGGTGGTCGTGTTCGCATTGGTGGAGGTGCGTCTACTGGGCGATCGGGAGGGAGATCGTGATGGCGATCGTGATGACGTTGGGGATGGGCTTTTTCCTTGTGGCCTTCCGCTGATGTGGGAAGGTGGCGCTGGTCCCACCACCTCAACGTCCACATCAACATCTTGGACGACCCATGACTGCTGACTGATTTGCTCCATTCGTTTGGAAATACTGGTTGTCTTAGGTGGCGGCGATTGGACAGAGGGTATGGCCGATGGAGTCGTTTTTCTAGAACCTGGTTTAGACACATTGGTCACCTGATTTCTGTACGATCTCTTTTCTTCAGTAATCAAGCTGGTGCTAGGACTTGGTCGGCCACGATTTCCATTCACTTTAGTTGGAGTCGGCGTTGTGCTAGGTTTGCGTTCTGAAGTGCGCTGTCCAAAGACCGAGGGCCGATTGAGGATATCTTTCTGACGCTTTAGTTCGATGGCTGTGGTATGTGTCTTGGTCATTGGCAGGGGCTCATCTTCGAATTCTTCTTCGGGAGAGTATTCTGGCTCCTCTTCGGATTGTTCTATATTATCCCTGGGTCGTTCCTTTTGGTGAGATTTTTCAGTTACCGTCTCCGGTTCGTCTTTGAGCTTCGTTTGGGGTTCCTTTTGTGGAGCCTTGGGTTCCCTTTTAGTCACCATTTCAGGTTCATCTTTGAGCTTTGTTAGGGGCTGCCTTTTGGGATCCCATAAGGAATCTTTTCGGGGCAACTTGGGATCTTTTTGAGGTTGCTTTTTAGGCTCCCATTGTGACACTTTTTGTGGTAGCTTTGCTTGATATTTAGGCACCTTGGCGGGTTCTTCCTTGAGCTTCGTTTGGGGTTCTTTTTGGGGCACTCTCTTAGGTCCCTTTTCTGGCTCTTCCTTGGATTCCCTTCGTGTTTCCTTGCTTTCCTTTGTTTGTTGCTTAAATTCCCGTATGGTTTCCTTTTTGGTCACAGTTTGACTGACTTCTTCTTCTGTCTCCAGATGGCTAGTTTGGTCCTCATCCTCCACATCTGTATCCCGATCCAGTTCTGGTTCTGATTCCTCGTCCAACTCTCGCTCTGGTTCGCTCTGACGGGAAATGTGGCGCTCAATGTTGGCAACCAAGCGTGGCGATTTCTGTGGCATGCTAGGTGCCAACTTCTCGGCTGTGTCGATAAACTTGTGCACTTTCTGGGAGACACTCAGGGTGCAATCGTCCCGAAGGAGCTCTTCATCGATTTCCTCCAGACCGGGGCGCTCTATCTCAGGTCGAGGAGAGAGCGAAGAAGGCCTGATAACGTTCTCGGCAGTGCGCAGGAACTTGTCTACCTTCTGGTTTATGCTAAGCAGGCACTCATCGTTTTCAGGAATCTTGGCGTGCGTATCGAACTCCCTGCTAAATGGGGCAGATGCTCGTGGTTGCATTACCTTTTCGGCGGAGTGAGTGAATCGGGAGACCTTCTCGTGCACACTCAACAGACTCTCGTCCGTATCGGGAGTATTTACGGGATAGTCCAGGCTCTTAGGAGCCTCCACTGTGGGATTGTCCAGTATATCTTCCTCTAATCCATTTGAGCTGCGCAGTTCCGAGATCTGACAACCCACAAAGGTTTGAGATTCCTCCTCGAAAATTGGTATATTTGTAACCTGTGGCTTACGACGGGGCTCATCATCGGGCTCCTGCACGACATCTGGGTAACGTGGCTTTCCCGTTTCCACCTCAGCGGGCACGGGTGTGGGTACAATCCTATCCGGAGATGGTTCCCTCGAGCTCTTCGCCTGTTGAATGTCAATGATCACACCCTCAATATCAGTAGCTGTATTGATTCGCTGCTCGCTTAGATTGATCGTCTTTGTGGTGCAGCATTTACTTGGTCGAGTTCTTTCACCAACTGGCTTTAGGCTACTCATCTCAGGATGAGGCTTATTACCGCTCATCTTAATGATATTCTCGCTGGTTGATCGCGTGACCTTCTCGGTTTTATCGCGTCGGGTCACTCGTGGCACGGGAGCCGACTCCTTGCGCTCCGTTACTGGAAGTTTTCTTATCGGACTGGGAGCACTACTAGTATTATTTAGAGGTCGCCTCTCTGTTCTCGGGGATTTGGGAGCCGTATGGTCAATGATGATTTCCGTGTGCACGGAAATATTGCTAGAACGCCGACGTTCGTTACTCACCCTCGAAGGGCTAACATCTGGAGAAGTAGAGTCTCCATCGACGTCGTCTTCAGGGTTTCGTGATTGTGCCGGAGTGGGTGTTCGGGTTTGCTGTGGAGATGTTTTTTGCTTGCGTGGCGAAGAGCGAAGACGATCCTTGATGGAAGGTGAACCATTAGTATCGTTGGGCTTGCGAACCTGCCGAGTTGTTGTAGCTGTCGTAGTTGTTCGTGTCTCTTCCACCAAACTGTCCCGTTTGCACCCCTTCAGCGAATCCTTCCGAGGACTTTTTGCGGCTGGGAGCTTAGATTGTGACTCCTTGGGCGTCAGTGGTTGCTTTGTTTTGGAGGTGCGCGAATTGCGACGTTCGGTTTCGGTTTTCGTAATTGTCACACTGGTTGTCTTATTCTTCGTTTCCGGCTCTGATTCCTTTTCAGGTTCCGATTCGGTTTCGGGTACTTTTTTCGGCAGCTTTTGGGTTGGCTTTGTACCCTTTTTGGTTGTAGTGGGACTTGGAGTTCGCGACCTCTGTCTGATTTTCTCCACAATAGTTTTTCCCTGGCAATCAATGATCTTCTCGGTGACAAAGCTTGACTCCAGCTTGGTTGGAGTTTTCCTCCCAAAGGAGGGTGACACTGAAGGTGATGCAGAAGGAGAAGGTGAATGGGAGTTTTTCGGAGCCCTGCGTTCCGGAGAAGGAGACCAGGTAGGAGTGGGAGATTTCGAAACCTGCTTGCTAATGACAATGGTCTCTTCATTAATATGAATCGTTTCGGCATCCTCTTTGGGATTCCTGGGGATCTCCTTGGGATACCCAACATTTGATGGCTCCTTCGGATATCTAGGACTTTGTTGTTCCTTTGGATACTTGGGATTTTCCAACTCCTTGGGATGTCTGGGGGTTTCTCCGTCCTTCACGTAAGAAGGACCTTGCTCCTTCTTTGGGGTCTTGGGAATCTCTTGCTCCTTCTTGGGAGCTCTGGGAATCTCCTGCTCCTTCTTGGGGGCTTTGGGAATTTCTTGCTCGTTTCGATAGTTAGGACTATCCTCTTCCTTGGGGGCCATTTTAGAGGGAGTCTTCAGAATCCCCACATCCTCTGGCTCGGTAACATCCACGAGAAGCTCCTCCTCCACCTTTATTTTCGGCTGTGTACGCACCACAAATGTCTCAGTCACCCGGCGAGGGTGATCATCGTCATCATCATCGGGACAATCTTCGATTTTTACTTCGATGGTCTCTATGGTGGTGTGAGTAACATTCTCATTTTCCTGATTGTTATCCGGTCGTTTAGTATAACTTCCCTGAGTATCGCCATCTTCCTCCATGCCCAAAATTTGGCGGCATCGATCCTCGAAGGTCTCTCGACGAGTTAAACCTTTCTTGCGATAAGTAGGTGCCTCTTTTTCTTCTGGTTGGGTCTCAGGTTCAGTTCCTTTGGAGATAAATCCACCATCTGGGCTCTCAATAGCCTCCTGCGGTTTTGTTTTCGGTTCAAATTTACCTGGGGCCTGGGGTTTGTTTTCATAGTTTGGCTGATTCTGATTATCTCGTTCGTTCGTTAGGAATTCTTCGTTAAAGTTATTTGTGGTTCGTTTTTGTGTAGTGGTTATGGTACTACGGAAAATCTCCTCCTCTCGTTTCTGTTGGTTGGTGAGTTCCTTTTCCGGACTTTGACGGAATTTCGTAGGAATTTCATGGGGCAACTGCTTCTCAGGACTTTCACGGGGTGAAACACGGGACAGTCCAGGAGCTTTTTCGGGAGTCTGAGCTCGGGGTATTTGTTTATGGGGAGATTCACGCGGCAAAGCACTAGGCTGGTCAACTACAGGAGCCTTCTCGGGACCTTGGGCTTGGGGCAACTGCTTTTCGGGACTTTGACGGGGTGAGACTTGAGGCTGAGTCCATCCAGGAGTCTTTCCCGGACTCTGAGGCAGTTGCTTTTCAAACTGGCCTGTAGTGGCTAACTCACGTGGTTGTTTGAAGGCTGGCTGCTCCTTTTCGGGACTTTGTCTAGGAGTTGCCCTAGGCTGTGGCAGTCCAGGACCCTTCTCGGGACTCTGAGCCCTAGTTGATGGTTTCCCAGGGCTCTGAGCCCTAGGTGATGGCTTCTGCGGACTCTGATCCCTAGCTGATGGCTTCTCAGGCATCGTGGGCAGGCCCGGAGCTCCGCTCATCTGTTCAATGAGAATCAGCTCATCGATCGAAAGCTGATCCACGGGCTGGGATGAGCGTCGACCCTCGAAAGTCGTTTCCCGCTGCACCGTGCGCGGCTCCACACTGGGCGACTTGGAGCTACGCCTCAGCTGAGGCTGATGCTCCGGTTCGTCAATGGGCTTCCTCATTGGGTGGGGCTTCTTGCTGGCTGCAACGGATCAGGGCATAAGACTGGGGGACGCAAGGCGCTACGTGATCTCGACTACTTCTACAACCGGTGTGTGCTAAGGTGTACATAAGTTGTGTCTACTATGGCAAAGCCCTTGTTAATATGTTAGGATTAGTTACAACTACGTTGGCAGCTTCAGCTGCGAGGGTTAGGCGATTTCTACAGGATTAGGCAGGCACAGGCTCAGTCTCAGGCAATGGCAAATACACCCATTAGTGAAAGCTCGAGAGAAAAATTGTTAGACTTGGAGTAGTAGAGTTAGGGCCACAGATCTTTCATTCACTCTGCAACCCATTTGGCTTCCCAGTTTCAGTGATTCAGTGCAATTTCAATTTGTGTTGTGCTTGGTCAAGACATTGAACATTGAACATTTCAGAGTTGCGGTTTTTTGGTAAACAGTTTCAAGTATATTTATTTGCAAAAAAATCCAAAAAATAAAGAAGTATAGATAGATAGTTAGGTGTACAGAGTTTCTTGATTTTTTTTTTATTTCTTTTGGCAATTTTCGGGTAGTGGTTGAATTCAAGCCTTACCAGGGGTCCCTGAGCTCTCGGGCGTCTCGGGGTTTTCCCCCTCGTTTCCAAGTTGGTAATATTGACGCCGCACACAGGGTGCCTCTTCCACCACCATTGCCTCGTTAGCGCTCAGCTTCACCTTGCGGATCGGCTGGGAATCGGTATCGGTAGCGGTAGCGGTTTCGATTGCAGATTGTTTCGGGTGGTTCTGGTTGTTGGAGGTGGTGGTTGTTGTTTTGGTGGTGGTGGTTAGTGTTGGTTCGTTGTTAATAGTAGGAGGAGTAGTTGGTGGCAGAGAGAATATATCGCCGGGCTTAGTGGTAGTATACGTATACTGTGATAGCTTGTTATCTGAAGGATATACATTCATATACATAGTTCATAGTTCCAATATTTATATAGCATATAGTCATGTGGTTTCTTTTTTTTTTTTAATTAAAAGTTTTCAACCTTTCATTTTTTTCTCTAATTCGTACCTGGTGGTGCGGAACTGGCTGGTGCCGAAGTGGGTGAAGGTGGTGCTGGACTGGGACTGGACTTGGTGGTGCTGCTTGTGGTTGTGGTCGTGGTGGTAATCACATTTCCTCCTGCTTTCGGTGTGGGCGACCTCGGCTCGCTGGGACTCTTCACCGGCCTGGTGGTCTTGGTCTTGGTGGTGCTGCTGGTGGTGTGGCCACCCGTGTGTCTGGTCACAGTGGTTGAGCTAATCCTGCTCGATTCCGATGGCGCCTGGCTATCGTGCGAGCCCTCACGCATTTCCCGGCGGAAGGTGCGATTCGAGGAGACGCTCGAGCGCGGCGTCTGGTGGTGCGATCCCACCGAGGTGGTGCTGTCGGCCGGCGAACTGCTTCGCAGCGAGGCGGCAAAGGCCCGATGGGCGGCATCCACCTCGCGCTCCTTTTGCAACTGACGCCGCGTCAACGGCTCCGAAGTGGTGGTTGTCTTGGTGGTGCTGCTACCTCCAGTGGTGCTGGGACGCGTTTGGCTCGGCTTTCCAGCTGGCCCACGAGGCGAAGTCACACCCTGGTTTCCGTAATCCTCACGTGGCTGAGATCGACGTGGACTTCCAGATCTGGGAGTGGAGTGGGTGTGGGTGTGGGTGGTGTGGGAGGGCGCATGTGGATGCTCCACCTGCGTCTCAATGATCCGCTCCGTGTTCGTCTTGCGATTGGCGCTCTGATTGCGACTCACCGTCTTGGCTGTCTGCAAGACCTCGCCATCGGGCTGATCGGACCGAGTGGTGGTGGTTCGCACCGAGGGAAATCCATGGGTGCTGAAATCCTCATCCACCGGCTGGCGTCTGGTGGGGCTGGGCTGCTCCCAGCTAGGTGATGGCGCCTCCCTGAGTTTCTGTGGCGACCTCTGGGGCTGATTGTAATCATCGCCCACCACCTCCGTTTCGGTGGTGCGCTGCGAACTGGTCTGCTGTTTCACCTGGCGGCTCTTCTCCGAACGCACCACCACCACCTCCTCGCCAGCTGCGGCTGGTCTTTGCGAGGGATACTCCTGGGTGGGCTTGTTCGGACGGACCGAGGGGAAACCGTGGGTACTGAAGTCACTGGTCGGCGACTGACGTGGCTGCGAGTGTAAGGTGGTGGGTGCCGGTGCCTTCTGCACCACTTTGGACAAGGGCTGTCCGCGATCATCGTACTCCTCCACGGTTTCCGAGGTGGTTTCCGTGGAGAAACGTCGGCTGGACTTCTTCACCGAGGAGAAGCTCTGCGACTCCGTCACATGCTTCTGCTCCACGTTGTCCACCACATCGCGAACCTGACTATCCTGCACATCCTGTGCACGTCGCTGATTGTGGGTTTGATTGTGGGTTTGATTACGGGTTTGATTGTGGCTCTGGTTGTTGGTCTGCTTATGGGTTGTCTGGTTCTGGTTCTGGCTGGGGGTGAGCTGCTCCGTCTCGTAACGCTTGTTTTTGACAATGGTTCCGTCCGGCAGCCGCTTAACGGTGGTGATCATCTTGACATTCGGCTTGGGATACTCCACCGTATTGGAGATGATCTCGCCGGGCTGCTCCATCAGGTGTTGCACATGGCGTTGATATTCCGGCGAGGCCTTGTCCATATCCACATAGCGCTTGTTCTCCTCATAATGCTGCTGGGTCTGGACATTCCGGGTGCTGTTGCTCTGCTCGCGGCTCTCCGAGAATCGCTCCTCCTGGCGCTGCAGTTGTTCCTGACGCTGGATTTGCTCCTGCCGTTGGAATTCCTCCTGGCGCTGCAATTGCTCCTGGCGAATCTGTTGCTCCTGTCGCTGCATTTGCTCTTGGATGCGCTGCTCCTGTCGCCTCTGTTCCTGCTCCCACTCTCGCTGATGGTGCTGCTGCTGCTGCGACTGCTGTGGCTTCTTCTCCTGGCTATCCAGCAGATATCGCGGCTCATCGCCGTATTCCACGGTGGACGAGGAGGACACCACCTTGGAGGTGGACGAGGTGGAGGTGGAGCTCATCTTCATCTCGGTGCGACCGCTGTTCTCATCCCCAAAGACCACCGTCTCTTGGAGCTGGGTCTTCGAGCTATCCGATGCCTGCTTCACGAAGTTCTTGTCGTCGCCCTGATGCGAGGCACTCGAGCGCTGCTCGTTGCGACCTTTGAACTCGGCCAGGCCACCACCATTGAGCTTCTCCACGCCTGCGATTGTGTTCGGGGTGTTCGGAGGTCGTTGGGTGGGAGGTCGAGTGGTGGACATGGACATACAGAACAAACAGAATTGGGTTATACACAAAACTTCACCGACAAGGGACAGGGGGGTTAGGTTGGTTGGACACTTACAGCTAACTCAGATGACTGACTGGAATGGCTTTTAGTTTTTGTAAAACCATAAAGAATCATTAATTCCCTATTAGCTACAAATGACTTAAAGCTTTAAAGATCGACAACCATAAAGTTCTGTTTTTAAAGCTATCCCTTCATAACTATATTTATTCCAGCTTATTATTCTTAGTTTTGATATTTTTCTATTTATGATTTTGAATAAATAATCCAATCCAGTCAATCAACGAACTGCCAGCAAGTGTCTCTTTTGGTCAGCTTTGGTGCTAGCCAGACAAAAGGAGCTACCACCAAGCAAAAGAAATCCTCTTCAGGATCAGGACTCACCATCTGTTTTGGCCAGAGTTTCGGTGCGATAGGCCCGTCCATCGGGACTGACCTCCGAGGAGGTCTGCACATCCCAACCGGTTGTATTGGGCTGGCTGAGCGTCATCGAGTGGAATCGCAGCTCATGAGTGGGACTGGTCGAATCGCGGACCTCCTTCGACTTGAGGCTCTGGAAGTTCTGGTCCAGCAGGGCATCCCCGTGGCTGGTGGCCAACGGATCCTTGCCTGCGTATCCGGCCAGCGTGTTCACGTTGCCATGTCCGTTTCCGTTGGGCTCCGACATTGGGTCCGATTCGTGCCTATAGAGGTTGCAAAGTCGCGACTCGCGCAGCTTATAGAGATGCGATCGGATCTGCTTTTTGCGTTCGCTGTCCTCGGACTGCTGCCACTGAAAAGGGTGAGGAAAGAATGTTGCGGTTATTATCTAGAAAATGGCTTTGGTATATATGCAATTTATTTTTATAATAAACCACTTTTTGGACAAGTATTATATATATATTTTTTTCCCAAGAGTTTTTTCCCAGCTATTCATTTTAATTTGTGTATTTTTTATAATATTGTTTAAAATATTTAAACCGCTTTTAAGACAAGAAAAACGTCTTCGGTAAATATTTATATGCCTCGTTTTTCTTTCGTTTTCTACAACTTATAATTGTTGTCTAGTGTAGAGCTCTTTTTCGTGGTCTCCATACTTCTTTCCTAATGTAGTTCATCTATTTTTGTGTATCTGTAGACAGGCCCGTCCTTGAGCCAATTAAGCCAAGTGAACTCGTGCTCAAGTTTGAGTGCCTGCGAGTGGAGTAGAGTACAGAGCGAGTCCAAGTGGAGTGCAGGGAGCCCACGCTCGTCGCTTCCAGCGGCTGGATCGCCTTTTATGGCGCCCCGGGCCACTAACAATTAGCCGGTCAGCCAACACAACAACTGCAGTTGGCCAGAGCCAGTCCGCCTGACTCAGCCACTTGCCTTATAGACAGAAATCGAATCGAATCGAGTCGAGTCGGCTTCTAGCCGGCGAGAAAGATGATGAAGATGACGCCCCCAATAAGTTCTCGGATTTCAATGGCAGAAGCAACCGATGACCAAAAATGGCTGGGATTAGCGTAAGGGTAACAAATTGAATGATTCAGGCGAACGAAATGATTGATGGGGAATGGTATTGCGATAAGTTATACCTTTTTCTAATAATAGAGCTTGAAATATTAAAAAGTTTTGAGTGTGTGTAATCTGCTTGGCCTCAGTTTACCAAATATAAACAAAGTTTTGATGACAGGGGGTCAGTCCCATTTCAGTTTGCAGGAATTCACTCCAGTTACTCCCTCATTCTGTGGAATTCTCGGAGTCTCGCATTTCTTGTAGCTTATCGGTATCGAATCGGAATCGAGGGCTGACGTTTCCAGCTTATAAATAAAACATGGAACAATTCCAACTGACCGATAAGCGGATCGTATTGGCCACAACAAAGGTCCGGGCAGAACGATCGTATTTATTTAAACAATAATCTAGTAAGGTGGCAGACTTTATAGAGGGTGAGAAAGAGAGAGGTGGTGAGGTAGCGATCACAATATCGTTAGCAAACAAATTGAGTGAAGTTGAAGCGGTGATATCACCTCACCTCAAAACGACCAGTTTCGCTTTGGCGGAAAAACATGTCAAATAACATTTGTATTAACAATAATGACACCTCGATCTCTACGTAGAGTGGGTGGAAGGCAGGGGGAGGGGGGCTAGCTTTGCTAACTGTTTAATTTTAGCCAAACTGAGGCCACATGACAGACAAATGGGCAACTTCCTAAAACCAGATGGAACTCCACACTCGATGTATATGAAGGGAAGTATATAGGAAATGGAATTATGAATAATTTGCAGATAAATGGTAGTAGTAAATGATGGATGAAACTAGGAATGGGAAACTATGAATAATATCAAGATTATTCAAACGTTAAATTTAACAAACAATGATGTGATTTCATTTTATTGAGTTGAAAAAAGGGTAAACAGAAAGATTTAAATCATTTACAGTAGCTTATCGAGTTTAATAATTGAATTTAGAAATCGCGGTCAAAAAAGAGATTTAGTTATCATAAATTATTTTCAACTTATTTAATTTCTAATTATATAAGTCTATTTTTTTGATACATTAGATTATTATCATAGAATCACGAATGAAGACTCGAAATAATGGCATTTTCAAGTTCTCATGACCATGTGGTCAATTTGGAAGAGCCAGTTGAAGTTCGTTTTAATTAGATCAGCTGGAGACCATTAGTTTTAGTTGTTCGACGAACCTTTCCTGCAACTCCCAGAGATTTATGGTTTCTGCCATTTCCCTAGTTATTAGCGAAATCTCAGATTTGCGGCATCCCCAGTGATTGATAGCGAAGTTGGTGCTTTCTTTTCTGACAAAACGGAACGACAGATGGCGCTGCCATTACTTTCAGCGCTTTCACTCGCCCAAATCAACGCATTCGAATTGACAAAATAAAACAAAATGCGCGAAATCAAAGAGAGTAGCATCTAAGTGTGTGTGCTGTGTGTCTGCGCAAAAAGATTGCAACTTTGCTTTGTTGTTTTTTCTTTTTTGTTTGTTTGTTTGTTCGCTTGAGTGTGTTGTTTTTTTTTTTATTTCAAGAACTGGTCGCGTGGTTGGGTGGGGGTTAGTCTAGACCTGCGTCTTAAAACGCCTCTGCCTGCGCCGCTGCCACAGCCTCTACCTCTCTTTGTGCACTGACAAAAATGTTGGAATAATTTAACTCACAAAATGTTTTAATTGTCAAAGAATGGATTTAGTAAAGTCCAGCCTTCAAGCCGACTGCAATTCAGAAAATGGAAAAATAAAGGATTCTAAGCCTTCATAATAATTTATTTAAGTCTGTTATGACAAAAAGGAACTCTGTGTGATTAGACACAACAAATTCTCTGCAATTATCTTTATACAAAATAGTTGGCTTTTGTTTACTTTAAGCTTTAAAAAACATTTTAAGAATATTTAGTGGCTTCGTTTGGTCTGATTAACAACCTAAAAAAACTAGTTTTAAAGCATAGATTTTTGCGACGTCTATGTATATGTATGTATATGTAAATACAGAATTTCTATTTTCGGCAATTGGCTAAATTTTTTTTTATTTTTAAGGGTAAAAATTCGAAACGGATCTGTAAACTCCTGTATATTTTTGAACTTTTTTTGCAGTGTAACTCTCTGTGCCTGTCTCTGCCCAAATGACGTAATTTCTAAAAGTACTGTGATAACCAGTTGAAGAGGCAGCGGCGTCGGCAGATTTCGCACCTCTGCAGCGACGTCGGCAGCGGCAACCTGTTGGCGTCGACGTCGACTGCTACTGCGACGTCGACTGCGGGCCTAATGATGGGATGGACCGCTCTTCCCTCTCGCTCTCTTCTTCTCTTGCTCTACCGCCCTCTCGCTCCCTCATTGTCTGATGACGTGACGTGCGAGATTTCGTTGATGTGCGAATGCTGATAAATTATTTTGAAGTTTTTTCGCTTTTTAGCTGTTTTTGTTTTTCATTTTTGAGCTGTCGTGTCAGCAATGTTGACCTCCAACTTTTGTTTTTTTTGCGCCAAAAATCTTTTTGTTGTTGAAATTAAAATTTATTAAAACTTAATTGAGAGGAAATCAAAAAAAAACGAGAGAGAGATCGCGAAGGAGAAGGTCAAGGGGTCAGCTGAGGAACTCCCACTTATTCGGTGCTCACTGTACTGATAAACCTTGGCTGCGATTAGCTTATGACTAAATGATTCCTCATTTAATTGCACTTCAATCGAGATAAGACATGAAATATTAAGAATAGTGGCATATAGTAAGAGTTTAAAAATAGTACATATTTTACTGAATATTATTTCCCTATAGATAATGTATTTATCAAGTTCAATGATAATGACAGAAATACATACGTACAAACGTGCAAAGTAAAATTTTCTTGGTCACTCGACTTAAAACTGTGATGCGAAATATTATAATTCTTAAGATTATTTTAAAATGAATTAAGATTATTTTAATGATATACTAATAAATTTATTCAAAAAGAATTCAATTTCTACACAAGATTTTTTGGAATCATCAAAATATCTTTAAATAAATGTTTTTGAATGACATTTTTTTAAAATGGCCTTAAAGTTTATCACTCATACGCAATGTGGGAAAATGTATATTATCACTTGATGTGAATTTCCAATTTCTAATCAATCCTTAATCTCGAGTCAAAAACATTATAAGATCATATTATATGATTAACGTTTTTTCATACACACAGCAAAAGTTACTTGTTTTTCATCTAGAGATCTTTTCCAAAATTGAAATATTACATTAATTTATATGAAATGAATAATATGAAAATAATTTTTATTGGCTTTGTTTTTTTAACACAGTTTTCATACTAAAAAAAGTTTCAGTTTTTTTTCCTTATTTGTCTTAACATTCTTTAAAATTTTAAATATAAAAATATACATTCAGGTTGTTAACCATTAAGGTAACATTTTTTTGTCAGTGAAAGCACTACAATCAGCTGGAAAAAATAGCTTTGCACTTTGCTGCCGGCGTTAATTGCCGTCACTTGTTGTATATATTTTGTTTTGTATATTTATGGCAATTTCGATTTAAATTTTGCTTCAATTCCGATTCCCCTTCAATCTGTACTGTGTGCATATGCATATTAAAGTGACCTAATTGCCACTGTCCGCCCAATTGCGAATCGAGAATACAGAATACAGAATCTAGAATATAGAATCTAGAATCTAGAATTTTTGAATTGTGTCATTTTCAGTCGACGAAGGCAGCGAAGCCGACAGAGCGGGCAAAACATGTTTATGTTTGCTTTCGTGGACTTATTTGTGTTTTCGGTTGCGCTGTTAATTGTTTGCGTCTTATTTTGGGTATGACATCGCCCCAGGTGAATAAAACATGGCTCTATAAAACCCCAACCGAGTTCTAAAAGTGGAGCACTTTCGTGGGCTGTCGCTTGCATATAAAAGACCCCAGAAAACTGGACCCACATTAGCCGGTCCCCACTGTGCCATGGGAAAACGTATAAAATAACTCAGTTTTCGGTTTCTGGGTCTTTCGGCTTTTTGATCGATGGTCAGCTGTCAAATGGTTACACGCGTGTGGGAAATTATAATGCAAGCTTGGATCCATAGGTGATATATAGCCGGCAATCGTCACCATATCGGTGAGGCAAAAATAAAAAAACAACTCCGTTTCGTATTAATCTTAAAGCCGAAATGATCTCATACACGAAAACGGAATCGGGGGGTGAATATCTTTATGCATAACGTATATTCCACACAATTATCGGAGCCACAGTCATTAGTGCAGGTGGAGTTTTTGTTTCGCGGGCCGGAAAACGATTTGCACTGTTTTCTGAAATTATAGCT